TCTGTAACATGCTAATGTAAAGCCAGATTGGTGATTTTTCATTGAAATAAAAAATTAAGAATGACTGGTCTAGGATTAAAGGAGCACATATGTACAATCTTACTTTGGTGACTTGAGGTCTCTGTGGATGATCTTATGTAGATGTAGGTAGTTCATTCCTCCTGCAATGCCCATGGACCAGTCCACCAGAAGAGAGGGGGTGATCTTTCGCCCCGCTCGGAGCACCTCATACAGCTGTCCTTGGGCGCAGTACTCCATCAGGATACAGTAACATGGGGCCTGCGTGCACACACCCCTAAAAACAACCAAAGCAGTTAGATATGACATTGATAGAACTGTAGATCGGAAAAATATGTATGTAGGCAATTAGAAATGCCCCACACATGAATATTAAAGGTGCACTATGTAACTTTTCTGATGAGGGGTACACTACCTTCTTGTCCCTGACTTGTTTTGCTACACATTATCTTGAAAACATGCATTCTTACACTGAATGAGGTCACCTCTCCACAGATCTGACTAATCACTTGGCTTTGTGACTTTACTTGCTTTTCTCGATGATGTGTTTAATGTCACACTGTGGAATATTCCAGTAACATAAATAAGATTTCCATTGGAAAAGGAGGTGACAGATCCTCTACCAAAAAGTTACACTGTGCATCTTTAAAAATAGGCTATGTAACTGTAGGCTCCCTGATGTGAAATTGTTTATTTTGTTGCAGTGGCAAGGCAAAAAAGAAGAAGGATCTACACAGCGCATGATCCAATTGTTGTGCTTCAGTGCAACCAACGTACAATTTCAATGTGTCAATCTTATGATATAATTCAAAGGTTTAATATTGTGCAAAATTGACTGTTATGAGCTTTAAGTTATTTTATAATGCTGTTACCTCATGTTTGAGAAATCTTTTATTAGTCTGGCTACATCTCCAATGCTCGAATATGCTCTTTTCCACCTTGTGATGTCATGTAGTGTAGTTGTCAAGTTAACAGCTCCCTTTTATCTTTAGTTCAGTAGAAATGAGCAATTCCAGGGCTGAAATGATCAAAATGATTCTAGTAAATGTGTATGGATGTTAAAAAACACAGTGGAGCACTTTCTGTATTACTACATGACATCACTAGGTGGAAGACAATGTTTTCTGTTTGAGAAAAGAAATCTAAGGTCTAAAATGAAATGACATGAATGAAACAAAACACAAGTCCAGATATGTTTTTGAGGAGGAAACAACATTATAACATAGATCAGAAAATGTGGGCCCTTAAAGTTTTTTTGGAACAGTACTGTCAAACTTTGCTTTTGTTTCACTGTGCTGCTCTATCTGGAATTTGTGTCTCTGTCTAGACTGCCTGCTTTGCTGCTGCTGCTGTGCAAACTTACAATATGCGCTGTCCTTATTATAAATAAAAAAGTATCATTTCTACCATATGACAAACCCTCTTGTAATACATATCATAACAGTGTAATGACCATAGTGCGTGATTTGAGTTTCGTTACATTCCACTCTGATTGCCTTGTTGATTGAATGGCCCTAGAGGCATGGTGAGTGTCCTTACTTGAACGTGATGATATTGGGGTGCTTGAGTTTGCGCAGGTGCTTGATCTCAGTCTCCTTTATGTCCCGTACTTTCTTCACTGCCACCTCTTCTCCGTGAAACTTCCCCAAAAACACAGCCCCCTGAGCCCCACTGCCCACCCACTGCAGGTCAGAAATCTCCTCAAATGGGACCTCCCAAGACTCTGCACACAAGACAACAGCAAACAGTTTTACTTATTAAGTCATTTTGAAGTAATGAACCAACCAACCTCAAAGCATTCAGGCTTAGAACGCAAGTTTGTCAATCGTAAAAGTCAAACTCATTTGTTTTTGTTTTATGACACTTAAATATGTTACACTTATTCATAAATAGTAACTCAGCTGTAACTTTGTGGTCAGTGTACTTCTGTTTGTGTTTTTTTGTTTTGTTTTGTTTTTTCATGCTTCCCCCAAAATACTGCATATTTATCATGTAAGACTCCTATGTAACTTTGTTATAGTACAATGTTGTTTGAATGTAATATGTTTGGAGTGCACTACACATGTGATGGTGTATGTGACCATGACCAGTCTCCTAATGTTTGTACTTGTATTTGGACATTTATTGCAGTCTCACCAAATGAACAAGGACTAGTCAAAGAAATGTCTGCCTGTGAGCTGTCAAACAGACTCTGGCTCTAAGTGACACAGACAGAGTGGTCACTTCAGAGGAATCAGCTCTGAACAGACTGAGATCAATTCTTTATAAAGCTCAGAGCTGGAGCCAGACCTCTGTGAGTGGAGATCTATGTGCTCCTCACACTCAGAGAGTGACAAGAGCACAGCCAAAGTCCACTGCCCCAGGACCAGATGGAGACAGACTACTGTCTACTGTCTGTACAGAGAGAAGCAACACATGACATGAGCAGCTCTTAAACCCTGCTCCACCTGTGTCTTAACAAAGAGTGGATATCTTACCCTCCTGATTGTGTTTATGCTCAGTAGAGTAGGCCTTTCCGATCATGGTCCACACAGGTTTGAGGCAGCCGAAAAGTCCCTCCAAAAAGCCTCCACTTCCAGCCTGCAACCTGAAGCTCTCGGACTGCCTGCGGACAGCGCCGGCCTCCGGGCTGTGTCCCGCCTCTGCCCCACCACACTGGCATGCCTCATGTTCATGCAGAGTCAACACACTGTTGTCAAACTGGGGTCCATCACTGGGGGTGGGGCTACTGCCCCCGGGGGCGCCCTGGGCCCCAGTGTCTATAGACAGAACATTTCGCAGCACACACTGTGTGGGGGTCAGGTCCGTCTCAGGGGTGAGGGCGGGTGTGCCAGCGTCCAGTCTGCGGTAGGGCTCTGAGAGGGGTGAGCTGAAGCCTGAGAGGGAGGGGGAGGGGGCGCGGGGCTCATGAAGACAAGTCCCACTCATCAACACAGAGGTGCAGAGTGGAGTGGTGTCAGACAAGGAGACCACCCGAAATCAACAAGGACCACCTGAAATCAGTCAAACATTAGATTGAATTATTGTCCTGAGGGAAGCATTGGACAGACAGACAGACTGACAGATACTTTATTAATCCTGAGGGAAGTTCAAGAATCCCATTGCATTGCATTATACTCATATATACAATATACACATGAAGAGGACTGACATTTAACTCTGTGGTTGCTCAACTCAAGGATGACTTGTTTACTGCTCCATATGCAGTCATGTGTTTGTGAGTGTGAATGGGACAGAGCATTACCCTCTCACTACAAGGGCTTTATGAATGAGTCAGTCATTGGAGGGTGCACGGTGCACCCATCTACACTATCACCTGTTCTTACGATCCTTCTGCTCCGTATCTCGTCCGTCATGCATCAAGACACATCACAAGAATAAACCAAATTGCTTTACCAGGCAGCGCTGAAGTGAGGGGAGGAAAGATGTATAAAGCGAAAGCACTGTGGTCCAGTCACACACACATCAGCAGCGTGTCCTGTACTGCACCACTGCACGGGCTGAAGCGAGAGCGGCGTGAAAACGGCCAATAAACAAGCGCTGGGCCTCGCGAGCAAACCGTGCACACGCGCGCACACGCTAACGCAGGAAGATCAATCTTTAAATAACCGAGGATGTGACGATGACACTCGGCAGCATCATTGCCGACGTGCATGAATGCGAGCCCTATGTCCAGTCCAGTCCTGTATGGTCCAAGTCAGATTGCCGCAGCGTCTTTACGTTGCTCGGTTCAAGCATCAACGCAAATGTAGATGATAGTGAGACATTTTGTGGTCACAAAAATCATAGTTTGTGCAGCTGATCGAGCACGCTGCTTTGATTGGTGCAGTGTGAGCGGCACGAGCGGCAGCGGCATTACGCCAAACAGACACTTATCACAGGCTCATCTGTGCTTCACGCGCGGTTTAAGTGGATACTATAACATTCCCATACCTTTCTGCCCGGGTGATGTCGCGTTGTCAAGTGCAAGGATGGGCTCCGTCCTGGTATTTGGCGTGGACAGTTCGTTGTTTGTTCTTCGGCCCCTCGGTTGTATCTTGTGTAGTAGGCCTACATCCAGCGCCCATATATCCACGAGTTTCACGTTTCTGGGATGGATCCCAGTGGGCAAATTGTGTTATCAATAACCGGAGCCATGCAACGTGAGGAGCGCGCTCGGTTTTGGGGGAGGGAGCTGTCTCCTTCCCAGTGCTGAATTGACGTCACGGAAATGCAAGTTCGCTTGAGGGGGCGCTGTTATCCCCACACTAAGTACACATGCCACTAGTAAGGTTAAGGAAGTCGAATATTTAAACTTTACCCCCACGCATGCCTTTATTAGGCTATCAGAGTGCCATTCATTGAGACGCAGCATTTTTATTTGTTCATTCTGAAAATAAATAAATAAATAAATAATGATAAAAAAAATAAAAAATATGCCGTAGGCTATATTGTCTGTACTTTATTAGGCTATATTTTAGATGCCTTCATTAGGGAATTGCTCCACTGTGAGAGCAAAATAGAATATATAACACTAAAACCTAGAAATGGCCTACTGGATTTCTGCTGTTTTTGTACTACTCTGATTTCTTTGCTGTATATTTTGCATTTTATATTTTTAGTTTATTTTAAGAAATGATAAATTTAAAATAAGTACCAAAACAGCAAGAGACTTTTTTTTTTTTGGCTACTATTCAGTGTTTCATGTGCATCATATTGCACATTCCCGTTGTGTTCATAGGGAATGGGAATAAAGCCTTTTCTGATCCTGATTATATTCCTTCAAAAGAAGATACATTTTTCCTAACCTTGTGCATATCAAATCGTCCATATACCCATAATTTGAATATACTTTATAAATGCATATTAGAATTACAATCAATATTGTGCTTGGCTTTTAGGTTTATTTTGACTACAATTTTGATTACAGTTTCACTCTTTGTCCACCAGAGGACACTGCACAGCTCCGTGAGCACCAGCATTAGACCCATACGCGAGAAACGCTTTTTGTCCTTCTCGCTTCCTGTTGGTGCTTTCTCGGCGCGATTCGGTCCAGTCAAATGTGTCATCAAAACTGCACTCATGTTTTTTACTCTTTTAACACTTTTTGCCCAATAAACCAATACTGAGAGACACAGCAGAGAGAGAGGGGTAAGTTTTATTGAACTACTTGAAGGTACAATGTGACAAAGTGTAAATATAATTTTACAAAGTAAGCCAGTAGCAATGTGGCTATCAGAAATATTAACATTAGCTGATGGATTTGATATGTTGTCCAAAGAAAGTACACAAATGAACTAGCGTGATATCATAATCAGATTATTATTATATTTCAAGTCTTAAACGAAACATTTAGCCTGTAATTAGTTTGTTATGAGCAACATGTAGAAACTCCGTGCCTTACTGTCAGATATCAGCCTTAAAAGTTTTAACCTAATCGAGCCAAAATCTGTGTTTTACCGTGATATGTAAAACGATTATGAAAATATCTCTAAAACGTATCATCAGATACAGTTACAGTTCTTTACAGTTTTGATACTCACAAACCACATTTGTTGCTTTGTTTATCCTGTGGGTAGAGTTGCTTAACTATCACTATATTGCTTAAAGATTCACTGTGTAACCCTTCTGATGGCGGGTCTGCCACCTGCTTCTGACCCATAGATTGACCTGGTGGCCTAACTTCACAGATGTTTAATGAGATCAATGCCATACTGTGGAACATTGTAGGAGCAGTACAATCTGACATAGGCATTAACAAGTGTAAGGGTCAAGTCTCTGCATATGACACTTTACCATAACTCATTAATTGTCTGTGTTTTTCAGAGCCTGTTAGTGATCTAAAGATGTGCTCCCTGACTTTGTTCCCTCCTCCGCTGCCCTCAGGAAACACCACTCTGTGTGAATCCAACAATGAGCTGCTGTCAGGACCCAACAGCAATGAGACTGTCCAGGTTAATTACAGTTTATCTTGGTGATGTCAAATTTGAATGGTGGAATTATTTTTAGAATCCAGCAGTGTTCTATTGTATCAAAGGCTTTGAAAAATAGTAATCTTGTTTTATGTTGATGTTTTGTGTTTTAAGTTTGAAGTAACAGATTGTAATCACCATTAAAGCCATTAAAAAACATCACATAAACAATTCTTTACACGTTCTTTCTCCCTCATACAAAAACACTTAATGTGCTCTTTCACCTATACAAATAAATCTCTCTTTGAAATTCAGCCCTTCTGATATCTATACTGTCACCTATATATTATTTGGTCTATTTACATATTTAAATGAATGTTTTGTTTTGTTTGTTTCCAGGACAATAATCTTTTGAACTTGTATTTTCCACGGGATTCTCTGAAGCTACACAGTCGCACAGAAAGCAGCAGTAAAGCAGCTTTCCTGGACCATTCAGAGACACTGTGGATGAGGAGTGCTTCGGCCTGGTACAAATCATAGAACATGTATAAAATATGAAATGTAAATAATAATGAACACTTTGTATGTAATCTTTCTACAGGAGAGATGGGGGAATTACAGGACTACTAAATGAAATATCGAACTCGGACACAGAGGGTGAACACTGCAAACTACCTTCTAGAGTTACAAAAAATATGGATTTTTAAACAATTAATAATTAACAAAAGTCTGTTTTGTCTGTTTTAGTGCCCAAGTGGCTGGCAATGAGCTCCAGATGTGTTCTTGCACTGCTCAGACGGATTGCCTCCTTTCATGGATCTTTGTTTCCTCATGTTACAGTAATATAACTTATTTTAAAAAAATTAGAAAAAAATTTAAATTGGTAAAATATTACTCAGCACACTAATAATCTGTGTGCCTTTGTTTTCATAGCTGAGCAGTGAAGACATGATTGCTGAATTTTCACAAGTTTTGAATTGGTAAGGACTTTATCATCTTAAATTTGCTTAAACTTGTGTTGAATGTGCAAATGAATGTTTTAACTGTTTTGTCAGGCCTGACTGTGTAGTGCGAGCCTTTGCCTGGCACCCGCACACAGACAAATTTGCTGTAGCTCTTCTAGACGACTCCATCAAGATTTACAATCCCAAGAGGTAAAAAATGTTTTTGTGTTCACTGATCCTTAAATAAATACACCTGAAAGTGATAACTATGTAACTTTTAGTTTAGTGTCTGTCACCTGCTTATCTGCATGGATATGTTATTGCTTTGCCTAAAACATTTCACAGTTTAGCATTAAACTCTCTTATAGTGATTGAGACAAGCAGGTAGTTCCACCAGGGAAGTTACAGCAGTTTAACTAATACTGTGGAACATTCAGGACAACAGGTGTAGGACCCATAGCAGAAAAGTTACAAAAGTTACTTGCAGCTTTTAATATATCCCTGATATAACATTTTTTGATTAGTGATTGAAATTTAATATTCATACAAATTTCACTCTTATTCTGAAGCCACCTATTTTGATTTGCATTATATTTGAAAGTATTTCATGTGTATTCTTGCTGCTGTCAGTGCCACCACACCTACACTGAAGCACCGTCTGCAGAGGAGCGTTGCCGCAGTGACGTGGAAGCCTCTGTGTGCATCAGCTCTGGCTGTGGCCTGTCACAGCTGTATCCTGGTGTGGCACGTGGATCCCTGCTCTTTATCAACAAGGTGCAATATGCCTCACGTTTATTTTCTCAACTAATGTGTTTTCTCAAGGACAATGCTAATCATGATTTTGAATTAAATTTTCTTTTGTCTTATCAAAAATATTCTATTTTAAACCATGTGCTTTTATGGACCCATCTCTAGGCCCTCCTCCGGCTGTGCTCAAGTTCTGTCCCACCCAGGTCACTCCCCTGTCACCTCCATCGCCTGGTCTCCAAGTGGATCCCTCCTGGTTTCTGCTTCGCCCATGGACACTGCCATGTTGGTAGGGGCAAACCTCTTATTGTTTTACTCACGTGTCACTGAGCATACAGGTGTTGACTGTCTCCACTGTCAGGTTTGGGATGTGGCCGCAGAAAGCTGTGTTCCTCTGCAGAGAGTCGGAGGAGGAGGAGTCACTTTTCTCTCCTGGTCTCCTGATGGTAGTCATGTTTTGGCTTCTACTCCTGTTGCTCTCTTTAGGTATGGGTACACTTTTAATTGTCTGATTATTGTTATATGCAAGGTCGATATACGAGTGCTGATGTTTTCCTGTTGTGATATCTGTTTGATATGGTAAATGTAGCTGGTATCATGCACCAATATTTTTTTGTAGTCTCTGTGTGTCCATTCTTTTAGATTTTAAAACGTATTAAGAGTGACATCATCATCCAACTATGAGTTCCATTGACAGAAACAACAGAAATTAGGACTTTGTTACAGAGCAGAGCAGATAATGTCTGTTATGTGTCTGTTATTCTCTGTTGGTATTATGGCATATTCTTATATAAAAAATAAAATTACATAAAATTGCTCCCCTTATATCTATATCTTACTACAACATATATCGCATACATGTATATTAAAAGAAATAGTAGTGCTTGCTGTCAGTTCATTAAACAGTACAGGCCTGTAAGTTGATATTAAAAAGCGACTATATTTTATTAGGGTGTGGGAGACCCGAATGTGGACGTGTGAGCGGTGGCCTTGTCTTAAAGGACGTTGCCAGGTAAGAATCTCTGTACTCTTTTTTTTTTTTTTTTTTTTTTTGTAGTTTTAGCCTTCCCCTGACCCTGTTTTTCTTGTTTTTCTGTATGTAGACAGGATGTTGGAGTCCAGATGGAAGTCGTCTGCTTTTCAGTGTTCAAGGAGAGAGTGTCATCTATGTCCTGACCTTCACCGCCAGCCCAGGTTAATTCATGCTGTTTTATTTGTATTCTTATAGGTGTGACTGTCTTAACTACGGCTGTACAATATACCACAATCAAATGGTGTGGTATTGTTTTATTTATATAGGAGCAATGTGCAACAATACCTTAACTAAAACAAGCCTCATAGGAAAAATACTGGTGTTAGGTTCAAGCGCAATTTGAGTTGGAGCAATTATTAAAACACAAAGGCATTCATGGGATTCTTATATTTGTTTCACATTTACATATTTCAGTCTTATTTGAAATGTTAAAGGTCATGAGTTGTTTATAATGTGCATATTTAACTACTTTTTAATCATATATTGCAAATTTCAATTGCAATACTAGTCAGAAAACTTTAATTAATTAATTTATTTATTTTTTGTAGAATTGAGTTGTTTTAACCCAAGCCAAGATACAAGTTTCAAATTTTATTTTATTTTTTATAATTCAGGCCTGTCTTCAAACTCTCCTGTCACCGGACCTCAGACAGCGACTGTAGTGGCTGATCTTTCAGAGACGACCTTCAACACACAAGATGGAGACATAATGTAAGTATTCTGATTCTGGAGACAAATAATAATTGATTTGAATTTTGTTTTTTTGTTTTGTTTATCTATCTAAGTGTTGGTGGAGAGATCCAGTGTTTAGCCTGGGACTCTAAAGGAGAAAGACTTGCTGTGCTTCTTAAAGGTACAGTCAGTTTCTTATTTTTTTTATTGATTTATGCTCATTAAGCAGTGAACTTTGCTTCCTCTACTTAACTACTACTTATACTTATAATGAATTCTATTCTCCAACTCATAACAACTCTACAAACCATAAAAGTCATACAACCGTTCGCTACAGCATCATGCCAGTAATTTCCTTTACTCCAAAGCTATCCATCTTTCCAGACTACTATTTTAACACTTCATGGAACTGCATGAGTCGTGCAGTTTCTTGTGCCCTCTTCTGGAATTTTGTATGCATGACAATTCTTCTTGTTTCCAATAATTAATGAAAGACATACATGTAATTCCTTTAAAAATGTATCCTTACATGTTTAATAGTGTAAAATAGTATAATAGTATATAGTATTAATAGTATAAAATTAGATAGTACATGAGAAGTGCTTATGTTTTTTGTGTCTGAAAATACCCCAGAGAAATGTCAGTTGCTGTAAATTCTTCATTTCAGGGGCTGCAGACCGTCCTGCCATGATCGCAGTGTTCAAGACCAGAACCAGCCCCATCTTTGAGCTTTTGCCTTGGTTTGTAATTTTGTCGACTTTTTCATTTCTTTCCCAACCCAAGTAAGCTATATTTAATTCATGCTCTCTTCCTCCTCCCTTCCTCTTTTCTTTTGTAGTGGATTTGTTCAGGGGGAGCCCGGAGCTGAACCAAGGCTCATACAATTTCACCCAAACTTCCAGCATGGAGCCCTCCTCACTGTGGTAAGCGACCTCATTTTTCTTTAAATAAAATCCACTTTCTTTTATGCATTACTAAATCATGGATTCTTTATAAATAATTGATTAGATTTTCCTTTCTGCCACCTTAAGCACAGTTGTTCCATTATTCTTTCAGTGTTGGTCCAGTGGAAAAATCACCCATGTTCCTTTCTACTTTTTGAGCGCCGGCGTTCCTCATTTTGGTCTCAATGGAAGTCCGTCACTGCCACGCCCCCAAGAAAGACCAGCTGACTTTGCCAACCAGTCACTTTTTACAGAAATGCTCTTGTAAAATATTCACTACAACAACTTTCTTATTTTGCACTGTGAATTTTCCTAAATAAACAATTACATATTAGGTTTTAATTGTTTTGTTTTTTTCTTTGCCTTGTCTTTTATCTAGCTGAGACTTGACTTGTGGTACTTTTAAAGTGGCAAATTCATGCATCAATCACACAGCTTTTACCTATCTCTTATCACTGGCAAAATAAACATTTGTATCATAATTTTATGAAAATAATAGGTTGGACTGATATTGCAATATACATACTTTTCAAATCACAAACTTTTATGGACTTTTTCCATAGAATGGCTATTTGGGCTAAAGATGCTATTTTGTTTTGTTTTTTCAGTTGCCTCTGTCTGCAACAAGTGCCTTCTTTTGAAATATGACTGTAAAGATTACTTTCAGAATAAGAATAATTTATAACGTGAGTAAACTTCCATACTGTACAATTTCATGTTTCATATTACCATGCTATTGACAATTGTAACATGTTAGAGGAAGACATGCAGTTTTGTTTGTTTAAAATGTTACAAACATGACCTAAATGTAATAACTAAATATACCCGTTCACCTGATGCCCATCATGAATCAGTGCTAGTGCAGCCTCTGCGGCTCAGTGAGTGAATTCTGGAGGTTCTAAACTACACAACATATGGCCTGAAAAACATATGTGACCTCTATGCAGGTTTGGGCACTGGTAACTCAGGTTCAGTTGTGATTGTAGTACTTTTTTTTTTAAACCAATATGATACTGAGTAAATAAAAGTATGCTTCTTTGAGGCTTTAGTCAGACCTTTATTGCTCAGGACAGAAAAGTAGTGATGCACGAGTTCTCTGTTGCAAATGTTGCATCAAACTACAAAATTGTTATAGAATTTTGTTTCCATTCATCTTTGGAAATACAGTACTTGGATAATTGTTGAGAGGAGAGGTCACTTACACCAAACTTATGTTAACACACACACACGCATTCACTCACCCAGTCACAGCTATGACAACATGAATAAATCTATAGACAAAAGCACTATGTCCCCACGCCAAATCTGTTTTATTCAAAAAATCAACATCCTGCTAAGTTGTGTTTTCCTTTTATTTCCAATTTACATCAAATAGAAGTGTAACAAAATAAAAACAAAAATACCATAATAAAATTAATTAAAAAATGTACACGCCCTCACACAAACACAGACACCCCACCCTAGTTTGCTCCAATTCCCATAACCAGTTTTGGACAGCAAAAGTAATGCAATTTAACATACCCCTCCCTCTTAGTTAGCAAAGTGCGCCCCCTTCTGGTCCAGAGTGGAGTGTCCGTGTAAGATGTGAGGCTAGTGGGACACAGGAGAGAAGGGTTAAGGAGGGAAAATGAATTCATAGCACCTTTAGAAATGCGAAAGTGAGCAACCCAAAGCAAAGCTGGCATAGCAGCCGCCGAATTCACTTTAAGGCAAATTTTTTGGATGAAATTCACTTTGATTTTAAGCGTGAGGTAGCATTTAAAAGGATAAAGGTTTAAAACAGCAAAATGTCTCTAATTATTTTACAATCTAAATTTGCTTGGGAACTGGGTAACAATGTCTTATTCTAAGCAGTTGAAACATACATCCCAATGAGACCTCACTTTCATAAAAAAGTGTTGGTGTGCATATAGACACAAATAACAATCTGGCTGCTTATAAACACGCACCTTTACAACAACAGAACAGGGTTTATCATACACATTTAAGGCCTTCTTTTGGATTTCTGCCATTTTTATGTGAGGAGTAACACAGGGAGGGAGGGAGCTGGGGTAGGACAGGTCCAGAGGCGGTGCTGTGGTCTTGTAGTGGAAAAGGGGCGTGGCTTACTTACAAAATGTACCTGTCCAGTCCTACCTCAACTCTGCCTGTTCATGTTAGACAATAAATAAGTGACATCAAGTCATGTTTCTCCAATCAGTGACTCCTCCTGGTCCCTCTTCTTCCTCTGGCTCATTCCCGTCAACAGTTGCCATGGGAAACATGACTGGATCTCAGGAAGTAGGTCGACAGAGAATGGTGTTTAATGTACAGATATTGCCGGTGCCCTTCAGTGCTAACATCCAGGGAGTACAACTTGGAGAGCACTTCGTTTTGACAGAAAAAGTATCAATTTTCTTTAGAGTTTCCAGTCTCCTTTATTGTCGAAATGTAGTTTAATAGTTCATGGTGGAGCTTATCTTTTTCCTGTATTTTTGTCTGGGGAGGGGCTTGTGATCTTTCACTTTACAAGAAGCAGACTGCACCTAGATCCACACCAAACTCCTGATCGGCTCCTCCGATGTCTCGAGGAGCAATGTCCAGAATTGGCAGACGAGAGGTCTTTGTTGTTTTGTACTCAAAGACAGTCTTGCCCCACCGGCCTGTGTGTCTCTATAGGTAGACACAAAAACATAGGTTAAAACCAGGTTACAATCATAAGTGAAATACTGCAGTATTGGTTACTGTAACATACCTTGCAGCCGTCCTCCAGCACGCTGTAGGTGAAGCGGCTGTTGCCCTCTGCGCGGATCTCCACCTCGTTGGAGCCTCCGAGCAACAGAGCCTTCTTCAGGTTTCCTGAGGCCTGGTCCATGTAGGCGATGCTGTTCTTGCAGTGGTACGTGACGTTCTGAGATGCTTCAGTCGACAACAGCCTCAAGAAGTTGAGCTGCACGGTGGCGAAGGGGCTGTTCTGAGCGTAGCTGAACTGTAAGAGCATGGTCATATTAGTAAGCTCTGTGCACAATAATGATAGACTATTACATGAATCATATTGTATACGTATATGTACCTGGAATCCTCCATTCATATCTCCAAACCAGATGTGCTTGTGTTCCTTGCTCTTGGCAGTCCACCAGTTCTTCTTTGGTAGACTGGCAATAGTCGGGTAGACACAGGTCTCTCCAGTCTCCATGTTGCAGAAGGCTTTGATGGCATCAGCTGTGCTGCCCAGGTTAGGATCAATCCAGTATTCACCTGAGGACATTGTACAGTGAGTCTGTCATTCTGTACAATGGATTTAAACCTTTATATATCATGATATTTTAGATGACATTTTGTATCGAACATAGCCATAAAGTTAATAGATAACACTCCCTGGCCTAAGCAGCACTAGTGTCTCCAGGACTCACCGCTCTTCCACTCGGGGTGGCACAGCTTCAGATCTCTGCAGGAGCGGGATGGGTTCTTCTGGGTGCCATCGGGGCTGCGCAGGTTTTCGATCTGGTTGTTGAGGGATTTGAGAGTGGAGTCCACCTCAACATCGTGCTGCCGGAGGGAGGTGGAAGCCTCATCAGCCCTCATGTACCTCAGAGGATCAGGAGACTTCTCAGTCTGACCCAGACCAGCGAAAGCAGACATGTCAATGCCAGGGCCAGGAGGTCCGGGAGGTCCAGGGGGTCCAGGGTTACCAGGAGGACCCTAAGAGCAGAGGGGCAGATTAGCACAGAACAGGTGTGGGCCAAATGCTCTTTAAAAATGCAGCAAAAATGGGTGTTACTTACAGCAGGACCAGACTCTCCAGAGCGACCGCGGGGTCCAGGGGGTCCGATGGGGCCAGGCTGTCCGTTAGTTCCATCTTTACCAGCAGGTCCAGCAGGTCCGGCAGGGCCCTGAGCACCAAGGGGATAGATTTATCACATTATTTTTCTATTTTATTTTGAATTGTACACATACACATTTATATAATTATATCTTATTTGACACCTGTCTCTTGCTACCTTTTTGCTACTTATTTAGAATTCATTATTCCCATTTTTTTATTATATATTATATTAAATATTGAATTGTAAATTGTGTGAGCTACTAATAATAACTAAAGTAAAAACTAAAGTGTTCAGGTGGTGTTAAAGTGATTTGACTGTTTTGATTTTAATTTGATTTTAGTCACATTATCTGTTGTTTCCTTGTCTCACCTTAGCTCCACTTGGTCCGGCAGGTCCAGCAGCTCCAGCATCTCCAGCGGGGCCCTGTATTAAGCATATAACATTAATACTGTCTGATGCATACAGAATACAGACAGCAGACTGAATGTAAGTATAAGGCCTAAATCACGTACAGGAGGTCCAGGCAGACCCTGTAGACCGGTGAACCCACGGTGACCCTTCTGTCCTCTCTCTCCAGCCTCTCCAGCCTCACCCTTGTCTCCACGGGGTCCTTGGGGTCCCTGCAGAGTGAACAGCAATCGTTAAAGAGCCATTTGTAACATTTAAATAAATCATTATAATGTTGGTAAATACATGATACTTACAGCCATGCCTCTAGCTCCAGCAGGTCCAGGGGGTCCAGCAGGTCCTTGAGCTCCCTGTATGAGCATTAAAGAAGACATATTAGGCTTTTTGTCTAGTACTTAGTAATAAACTATAACAATATTTATAGTGGGTTCATAATAAACGACAACATCTATCTAAAACAGCTTAGTAAAAGAAATGGGAAGTTAATTTAGCAAATTATGTCCCCTTTTACAGTTATTTATCTTTATCTATAGACTTTTGGTGTGACACTTACAGCCTCTCCTCTGTCTCCCTGTTTTCCCAAAGGTCCTACAGGTCCTGGGGCGCCGGGGGCTCCAGGGGCACCAGGAGCTCCAGCAGGTCCAGTGTTACCGCGCTCTCCCTGAAGAACAACAAAGTCAGTGTCAGCAATATAGACACTCATCAATAATACAATAATTCTAATAATGGAACAATAGTGCTTGAGAAAAAATAACAGTGTCACCCACCTTGACTCCTGTAGCTCCATCTCTGCCAGGGGGTCCATCTGATCCAGGATTTCCCTAAGAGTTAAAAACCAACAATGAAGTACTCATCTATCACAATACTAGAGTTTGGGGCTTATTTTTCTGTTTTCGGGGGATATAGTTTATATTAGAATAATGCGACGATGCTCCTGTTCTGACCTCTCTGCCAGGCTCTCCAGCAGGTCCGGTGAGTCCAGGGGGTCCAACAGGTCCAGGGGGTCCACGGTCTCCAGCACCTCCTGGGGCTCCCTGTTTCCCAGGCTCACCCTGAATACAACAGCAGATATTAGTAATACATAAGCAAAGTATCACAAAGGTACAAAAGTGCAATTAATGTGTTCACTACATGGAATTGTTATTGTTGCAGGTATAAAATGTGTGGTTATGACAAATATAGTTGGTATAGGAAGATGAAGCTTTCTTTCAATTAAATTATAGATGAGCTGTGTTTCAAATTAGTCACTCACTTTTTACATTACCACCTTCATATATAATCGTTCATAGTCACACAGTCATATTTCAAAATGACTGACTTAAAACTAAAGCTAACTCTAGCATGTGGTGATTGAGACACTTACAGAAGGTCCAGGCAGACCAGGGAAGCCTCTCTCTCCACGCTGTCCAGGCAAACCCACAATACCACGAGATCCAGCCAAACCCTGAGGTCCTGCAGGTCCATCAGCGCCCTACACACAGGTCAAAGAATCAGCATCTTATCATTTTACAAATTATCTAAAGCATAATTTCACAAACACTGATCAACACTTTTTACTTTTATGTATGTAACAGAATCAATCAGAGCCTCTCTATAATATCTAGTAAATTCTGTGCTTAGAGGATAGGGCTGTGTATCATTAAGAAGTTGCTGATGCGATACATAGCTCGATACAGTGCACTTTCAATTTGATATCATATATTTCAAATCATTTCGATAGGATTCAATAAAAAATAATGGCTAAATAATGGCTAAATAATGGCTAAATCATGGCGGTGATTCTAAAAGTCTTTGTCAAACCACATCCTGTGCAATGTTCATATGAAACACAAACATTTTAATCATGAAAACTGTGAATATGTCAAATGTGTCTCATAAACGAGTTTCCTTCCACTGAACAAACAACAAAATTGTAGTTCTGTAACAAAATAACTTAGGAAAATATACCAAAAAATACTCTTACTTGATATATCGATACAGGAGTCCCCGATATTGATACTGTATCATCACATTAAATGATACGATATATCAATATTTTGATATTTTTGCACACCCCATTAGAGGATAATAATGGCCTATTGTGATACTATTGCTATTATTTAAGACACCATTAAGGTCTATCTATCATATTACCATTATTATTTCCATACCCACTACATATCCTCATGCAGTAATGAAGCTGCTGCTGAGTGCTAGAGGAGACTGCTGAAACAAAGTACTGTAGTTTATGTCCGACTAATCTAAATAAGATTTGCTTGTTTTGCACTTACAGGGGGTCCATCCTCTCCTGCCTCTCCCTTCTCTCCCTGAGCTCCGGGTGGGCCGCGCAGACCAGCATCTCCCTGTCGTCCTGGGGGTCCGGCATCACCACGAGCGCCTTTAGGTCCGTCTTTACCACCGGGACCAGGAGGCCCAACAGGTCCTGGGTTGCCCTGACATGGAGAAGTTGAATTTAGAAACACCACTTTGGTACAACTGAGCATTAAAGACAAGCTTTAATAGGTTGGGAATACATTCTACAATTTCAGATGGAGGGCAGGGGTCAATGTAACTAAGGGAAATTCTGAGTTTTTGTAGGAAAGACATTTACAATGCACAAATGTTGAACTTATCATTATTATTTGTTTGAGATTGGCTCAATTGGCTTTAAGTCTTTTCAACTGACACCTCGTTTATGGGTTGAATAATGGCACCACTTTCTGAAGCTATAGTGAAAATGTCTTTTCACTTTGGTTCATTTCTGCGCACAGCCAGTGAGTCAGTGTTTTTTGTTTCATGTGGATAGGACCTGTAATTACAGTACAGTATAGTAATTAACCATAAACCAGGTCAAATCTGCAATGTGAAATCCACCGACCTGTTTTTGATTTTAATTTGGCATTTCATGTTTGTACTTGTTAGCTTGTTGGTAGCTAATTGATTGCTTTTACTCTTTAGCACTCTATACATTATACTCTCTACAGTCAGTATATACTTACATTAGGTCCAGGAGCTCCAACTCTTCCAGCAGCACCAGGGAAACCAGTAGCACCCTGTCAGAAAAAAAAACAAAAACATTATAAATCACAGTATTAACAAAGCTACTTTATAATAAACCATATGTTTCAATGAAACCAGGATGACTTATTTCTCAGCATACATCTCCTGTCACCTGTTGCTATCTTTGTATTTCGGCCAGTCATCTTTCAAGTTGATTTAAAAGCCCTCTCAATTCACTCCTTTCTTATTTTTTTAGCTACAACCCTCCTCCACAGCATCTCCACCACAGCAGTAAAACCACCAGCCTCCACAACGTGCCTCTACACTTTTCATGTGTTTTTGTGTTTCTAATTCTAATTCTAATTCTAATCTATTTTGTAAACTATTTATATCACCCCACTCATTTGTATGGATCTGTTTAGGACTCTCCTTCTCAAAAGATATAGTTTTGTATTATATAATTTGAACAATTCAGAAATCTCTCAGTTGCTGACGTTTTAGTCTATCAATTACTATGTGAATTATGAGGTTTTTGTGTCATAATCCTACACATTAGAGCAACAAAAACAAAAAGGTGTGATTTAATAAATAAAATTATACTTACAGGAGCGCCCTGAGCACCACGAGCTCCTTTAGGTCCAGATACACCAGTGGGTCCCTAGAAAAGTGACAGCAAAAATCAGATTAACATTTAGGATTTCCTATCTGCTGCATGCTGGCTGCACAGGGGCTATAATTTATAGAAGACAAGAGTCTAAAACTGTTATTATGGGTGTCATTAATAGTAATATTTTAACAGAACATTTTTAACCCAATAATATGTTGGTAACAGTTAGCAGTTCATGTCTATACAATATGGTGTTACTGAATAATATCACTGCATCTGATGCCAGTAATTGTTATTGATATTTGATTGGCTATAGATCATTATTATTTTAAATTTTGCTCATTCTGGCCAGCATTAGACTTTGTGTAGGTCTTGTTTCATGTGGGCAGGCCTAGGACAGGCCTATTTATTACACTTCTAACTTGCCAATTGTACTTCTAAAAGTTCAATGTTTCTGTGCACTGCCACAAACAAATAAAAATATTCAAACTTCTGTTCACTACTTACAACAGGTCCAGGAGCTCCAGAGGGTCCCTGAGGTCCAGGGGCACCAGCCTCTCCCTTCTGTCCAGCCTCTCCCACTTCTCCTTTGGCTCCAGGCTGACCATCTGCACCCTTTGAGGCACAAAGCACAATATGGTTTAATACATGAAAACAATAATACAGTAAGGCTGATGATACAAATTGAGGTAATTTTACTTACAGGAGGTCCAGCAAAGCCAGCAGGGCCAGGAGGACCAACCTCACCACGGTCACCCTAAAGGACATCAGCACAGTTGGAGTTTTCAATTCACTGTATACTTCAGGTTAAGATTATGATTTGAGGGATTTTGCTTCACTGTAATGAGGAAGTACTTACAGGGGCACCACGAGCTCCGGGAGCACCATTCGGGCCACTAGGTCCAGTCTCACCCTGTTGACAGGAGAAAGGGTTAAGAAAACAGGTGATAAAACTTTAAATGATATATACAGTCTCAACAAACCAGCAGAATCTTACCTTAGCGCCATTAGGACCAGATGGACCAGGAGGACCAATAGGTCCAGTCAAACCCTGGAGACATCACAGATTAAGATGTTATGGTGGATGATTCAAGATAGAGACAACACTGTGAAAATGGCCAAACAAATGGACACTTACTCTAGCACCATCCTTTCCAGGAGCTCCCTCAGGTCCCTTTGCACCATTGTCTCCCTGATCAAAGAGAAGAGGGCAGGTTTGAGAGCATGCACCAGCTCACATACAGTTTAGACTACAAATACAGGTCTTTAACTCTGCTCCATTCGACACATCTGTGCTTTCCAGTGGCATACACAGTAACAGTGGCACTCACTCTGTCTCCTTTGGGTCCTGGGATGCCACCAGCTCCTCTCTCTCCGGGCATGCCCTGCAGACCAGGAGGGCCCTGAGCGCCTTGAGCACCAGCCGGTCCAATAGCTCCCTGAGGAACACAAAGCAGCAGTTATAGTTGACTTCCTAGAAACTTCTCATTAAAGCAGTATTCACAAAATAAAAAAAGATTGTAAAAAAATAACCCTCTGACCTTGGGTCCATCAGTTCCAGGAGTTCCAGGAAGTCCACGAGGTCCCTGCAGACCCTGAGGTCCAGCTCCACCCCTCTCACCAGGGAAACCACGCTCACCCTGTTCAACAGAGACATCATGGTGTCAGGGACAGGTGCAGTCATGTAAGTGTGTCTGTTAACTGTTTGGATATAATAAAAAATAGGACTGGATATGGTTCATGATAATGTGTTTACTCACTCTAGCTCCAACAGCACCAGGAGCACCGCCCTCTCCAGGAAGACCCTAAAAACACCATTTGGAATTTAGACGTGTTCAGTGCACCTATATGAATGGTGAAGATTTTGAGAAAACTTCTTATAAACGTACCTGGTCTCCAGGTTTTCCACTCTCTCCAGGAGCTCCAGTAGGACCAGGCAGACCCTGCACACAAACACAGTGAGTACTGCTACTATCACAAATATCACTTACATATCATAATATTTCTGTAGTCTAGACTAGACCCAGGTCAGACATGTACCTGGAAACCAGGGGGTCCAGGTTGTCCTTGCTCTCCTCTCTCTCCAGCAGGTCCCTGTAATAATCATATCATCAGTTAATGGCAATTGTTTGATTTCCAATTGGCAATATATAAATAAAAAAGCTTGATGTAATTTTCCAAAAAGCAACATATAATACTCACAGCAGGGCCGGGAGGTCCAGTGGGGCCAGTCTCTCCATCTTTTCCAGCCAGACCCTGTTAGACAGATTTCCTCCAGTTACAAAATGAATGTCTTCATGATTTCTATAATACATGTAATATTATGTATAGTTAAAGTATAGTTATAGTTGTACTCACTCTCAGACCAGGGCGACCCACAAGACCCTTCTCACCAGGTTTTCCAGGTTCACCCTTGAAAAGAAAATGTACAATAATTACAAAATGTATGAAGTATTGTCACATTATACCTGTCGAAAATAGACATAATGATGAATGATGTAACTACTACACAATAGATTATAGATGTCTAAGAAATAACTAGATGATGACAGATGAACCATAACTAACATATCTTCTCTTCTGCCAGAAAGAGTTACAGTTTTAACCCCATATTCCTCCTGACTCTTACATTGGCTCCTTTGGGTCCAGGGAATCCCATAACTCCGGGCTGTCCACGAGCTCCCAGAGGACCAGGAGGACCGGGGCGGCCATCTTCACCAGGAGCTCCCTAAAGGAAAACAACACTGTCAAATAATCACTTAAAAATAAGGTACTGTCTGCGTTAGAATTGACTATTGCTCTGCATCTGCATATTATTTACCATATCATTACTTGTATAAAACCTAATGTTTGTCTAATGTTTGTATATTTTACGTAGAATATTCTATTCTATTGTTGTGCATTTGTTCTTTACTTTTGGTAATTGTCATAGGTCCGTCTTGAAAATGATACAAGAGATCAAGAGGCCTACACTTATATAAAAAAAAAAAAGATTAAAATGTGGCTCTGATGCTGCATGTTGCACCCTGTATTTGATATATGACTATCTTACCTTACACCTGCTAATAGCTTATAATGGATATCAAATGCATTGTCCCATTAATTTCCAAATTCAGGAAGTGAACTTACAGCAGGTCCAACTTTGCCCTGAGGACCAGCATCTCCAGGACGTCCAGTGAGACCCTAAAAAGACAATACCAGACACAGTGTTAAGTCTATTTTCATTATAACTTAAAATGAGCACAGCAGAGATGCCTGAATCCTCTACTCACTCTTGCTCCGGGGAGGCCAGGCTCTCCTGTGCGGCCGGGGTCTCCAGTAGCACCCTTGGGTCCAGCAGCTCCAGCAACACCACGGTCACCAGGGGCACCCTAATCCAGAGAGACAAGATAAGTTATCAACCATGACACAGGGACTTATGTTCTCAATATAACTAAGAGATAAATAATGGAAAGTATGATTTGTGTTCATGTGATGTTGTCACTTACTTGTTTCTAAGTTAATTAAAGTTTTAAAGTTATAACTGAGCTAGAGTACAGAACAGAATTGTATGGTAGATCCTAATGTATTGTATAGATCTTGAGGTTATGTCATCACACCTCATAGATATTTTAGTTAGCCTAATGTTAAACCAGCAGAGATGTTAAAAACTATATTTAGCGAACATTCAAAGGTATATCTGTATATGATAAACGTAGTAGTGACCCAGCAGTTTATCAGGTTCATCCATGGTGTTTATATATATTTTTTGGCAAATGTCATTGACCTGTGCTTTCATGTTTTGAAATGTTGAAGACGGTCTAGAGTGATAATTTGTATATATGAAATGTAAGACCCACCTTAGCACCAGCAAGACCATCCTGACCTGGGAAACCACGGTTACCAGGAGCTCCCTAGAACATAACACAGAAATGATCAACATGTTGTCAGTGTATTATCAAATAAAGACATAAAAATGTAAAATCCAGTGTAATGCTAATAGCTTACTCTCTCTCCAGGAGGTCCGAGGGGACCGGCTGCTCCAGGCTCTCCTCTGGCTCCTCTCTTTCCCTCTTCTCCAGCAGGACCAGGGGGACCTTGAGGACCAGCAGGACCCTGGAAAAGAACAAGATTCAAAGCAAACAATTATAATAAAATAGGAACAATAAAATCTAAAATCTCAAAAAGAGGAACTTACAAGCTCTCCTTTGGGACCAGCTTCACCTTTCAATCCAGCAAGACCAGGCTCTCCCTAGAAAGAGAAGGAGCACGATCAGTTTAAAACCATACAAGAAACTTAAAATACCAAATAATTATCCGATACAGTGGTTCTAAAACTTTTCTGAAACAAATCTAGCACCATTCCAGAGCAATTAACAATATAAATACAAAATATTATATTTTCCTTAATTGGCCAGCGTCCTCAAAATATCACAAATAGCTGCTTCTAAGGGCATTACTGAAACTTTAGGTTAGTTTAGAAGTGACTGAGTCCTGAATTAGACCTGTTCTAGACTTTGTTTAGTCCTGGTTTGATTCTGTGTGACTTCCTGTTTCACCTTGGTTCAGTCCTAGACCAGTTATGACTGGGTTCATTTAATGTAGGTACTGAAAAATATTTTCTGAGACAGTTCTTGGAGTGAAATGTTGTATATGAAGACTTACAGACTGTCCCTTTGGTCCCAGAGGTCCAGTGGCTCCCTGAGGTCCAGGTGGGCCACGAGGACCAGGGAAACCGGGGGCTCCAGCAATACCAGGGGCACCCTAAAACACAAGATCAAACATCAGGCAAAGTTTAAAACAAAATGAAACATCACAGGACAAAAAGAGGAGACATGAACTTACAGCAGACCCTTTAGCTCCAGGAATACCATCAGTACCAGGGTTTCCCTATGACACAAGAACAGAGGACATGCAATGAAATTCAGACTGAGACAGATCATAGTGCTGGGTCTGAGATCACAACATTCTATAGGCCAATAATATTTAATGCAGATGGGGCGCTGCTAACATTTATATTGTTAAAATGCATTTTTTGTTGTAATATAGTAAGTTCTAGGGCCCAGACTTCACTAACATAAATGATCAGATTCAATATTTGTGAATTTGCCTTTTGGGTATTTATACAAATGTAGTCAATACTATAAACTAGCTCTCATCTTCCATTCAGAGACTAACATTATAACACTATAGAATCTGAAAACCACCAATACTGGCCTGGTTCACAACTGGCACTTAATCTATTGACCAGACATAATGATTAAATAAACTCATTATTAAAATGTTTACAAGAATGATTTCAATCCCAAACTTATGTATTATCACTAATCATTTCTAGAGGCTTTATTTGGTTGGGGTGGTGAGTTGTACTTTGGTTGAGGATAGTTCTTGGTCACTTTCAGTGGCAATAGACAGTAGACAACAACTATTTCTACCTAGATTCAAATATAAGAGACAGCAGAGACTTACAGATGCTCCAGCAGGTCCAGGAGATCCGGGGGTACCAGCCTCTCCTCTGGGTCCCTGTGCTCCCTCAGCTCCACGGGCACCAGTAGGGCCAGCTTCTCCCTAAAAAAAACACAAGTTTATAAATTATACATTTTTGTTATTATTCAGTAGAGTGTAAGGCTAAATATAAAAGGCATCAATTATATTTAGATTTACTGAAGACTGAAATAACAGGAGACAACATTACATGCTAATCCTGATATGTGCCAATCACAACATCAGAAGCAAGATGAGCAACAATCTGAGAATAGAGGTACTGAAGAGCTCAAGGTATAAAAGACAATTCATGTTTTCTGGTCTGGCTCTTATTTGCTAGAGTCAAGAGCAATTTACCTTGAGCTAATTTGGCTAAAATCTCTGACCATTAGACCATCATATCTCTAAATGTTCAGTTTATTTAAGATGATGGAGGGGGCTTTTGTTATTGTGCTCTATGGTAGAGTATGCTAATTCCGTTGCTGATTGGGTAAATATAGTGTCAAATTGGACACTGACATAAGTCTAACCTTTACAAATTTGTTTTGAGTGATATGAGTGATCTTTAAAATCTCAAACCTTAGCTCCTGGGGATCCTGGGAAACCGGGTGCTCCAGCAGGACCAACAGGCCCCTGAACACAAGAGTCATCAGTTAGATTCAAAAATATTGTATTAGCTTTTATTTGTTTCCATCAAAAATAACATATATTGTTGAATTTAGGCACTTACAGGTGGACCAGCAGGACCAGGCAGGCCATCATTTCCACGGGCACCCTAAAAATGAGAAAAAGAAGGAAGTTTTGAATTTGTCTGAAAAAGTTTAATATTAAATCAAAAGTTTAAAATAGTTTCACTCACAGCAGCTCCAGCGGCTCCAGGACGTCCCCTCTCACCAGGCAGACCACGAGGGCCCTAAACACAAGACATAAACATAAACAATATAATAGATGATATCCCTAAGTTTGCTTTAAAAATTTGTTTTGGGCTACTTAAGTTATAGCTATAAGTTCTGCCACAGTCAAGCTTTAAGTTGCTCTGGGCTTTAGTGGTCACATTTAACCACTAGGAAAATCAGCTGCAGTACACATGTCATTATAATCAGACCAGCTTATAATATAATATATAATGTATGTAAATCTATTTTCAAATCAGAAAGTTTTTTTCATTCTTGTCACACAAGTAGGTGGGGCTATTACAGTTAGTGACTGAAGGAACTGAAAGATTAATATCACCTTGTCCTTTTATATCCTTATGAATGTGTTCCCCTGGTTTTAGACAAGTTTTGTTCTCCTGGTGTAGACTTAGTTTTAATGTGGTCTGTGTGCAAGTGTTATTATTTTTCCCCTGGAAAAGCATCTGTTTTATTTAATTCACTTACCATTGGGCCAGGGGCTCCATTCTCTCCAGCAGCACCAGTCTCTCCCTAAAATGGAAGGAACAATGGTAAATGAGATACAGTACAATACAATTTAATACTAAAAACAAAATTATGTTGGTTTAAATGGAACTGTTTTGTACCTTGGCTCCAGCAGCACCATCTTCTCCCTTTGCGCCGTCCAAACCGGGGTGACCCTACACACCAAATCACAATGGTAAGACTCATCATTAATTACATTTAACTATAATAAATATAAAAAGGGTTAGGCCGTTTACTCTGTGTCCTTTGATTCCAGGAAGTCCAGGAGTTCCAGGGAATCCACGAGCTCCCTGAGAAGTTAATGTTTAAATCAGTGTTTCAGTTCAATTTCTGAATTTAGCATAATGGTATTGAACATTTGAGTCCTTCAATTTAACATTATGATATTTTAACATTCCGGTCCTTACCTGTGGTCCTGCAGGTCCACGCTCACCAGCTTTGCCAGGTTTTCCAGCCTCACCCTGAAAGCAATCAAGTCAATATTGGTATCTGTAAATATCTCTGTGTAGCCACTAGAGCATTCACATCAACAAGATATTTGTTTTGTTCTGTGATAAAAAAAAAAACCAAACAAAAAAACTGCATAGACATATACACATAGACAATAAAACAATAGATTCACTGAAATTAAAGGTTGGCCATGTAGCCTGTGCTCTAACTGGATTAAAAAAGGAATTACAATCACAAAACTGAACCTGGGTTACCAGTCTCTTAACACACATACAAGTTTGTCTCATTCTCAGTATATGGACAGACCATGTCTCATGGGAAAATTCAGAACCTCCAGAATTCCCTCACTGAGCTGCAGAGGCTGCACTAGCACTGATTCATGATTGGCTGCAGGTGCCACTCAGATCAGAGATCAGATTCTTTTAGGTTTTAACCAGTTGGATTTCACTGTTGAAACTGGCAACCCAAATGAGAGACGTGTGAGGCTCATTCTGCTTTCAGATTGGATAATCATCCAGAGAACCAAATACTAAACGACCACTTCAGCAGATTTGCCATCATATGCAATGTGTTTGTATTTAAGAATAGATCAGCATTACAAATTGCTATTGGTAAAAACAATATTTGATTTGAACATGTTAACCTTATATCACAGATAGAGAATGTTTATGAACTACAAATTCTACTAGTACATACCCTCCCTTTAAAGCAGGAGAGTTGCTTATGCTGAGGTTGACAGAGAAAACACTTACATCACTTCCTGGTTTTCCAGATGGTCCAGGTGGTCCACGGGGTCCCATTGGTCCCTATGATTAGATTTAAAAGAGCAATGAGTGAATTATTATAATTAATACAAACCATGAACATTCAGAGAGATGTACTGGGACTTACAGCAGGTCCGGGCTCTCCAGTTTCACCAGGGGCACCTTGGAAACCCTGAGGTCCCTGTAGAGAAGAACAAAACAAAAAATATTCAGTAAATGTAACAATAAATTATTATTTTATGTTTGACAATTTATTGTCTTACAGGAGCTCCAGTAGGTCCAGGGGGTCCACGTGGTCCCATAGGTCCCTGTAGAAAACAAAACAATTGAAGTATTTACATGTATGTTTATCATATTCATAGGTTCATTGATTGTTATTAATACTTTTATTATTTGAAAACATGCATTTTTAGCTCACTTAGAAGTTAACATATTTATACAGGTAACTATTAAAATACATGGTTTAAAGTAATGCATTTCTTTTCTGAAGCCACACAATTCATGACTTTTGTAAATTATGTATTTACTCTGTTCAACCACCTTTGAGGTGAGGTAACACATAACCACAAGAGGGCAGCACTGAGATGCCTTTTAGAGCAAGAAGGAATACTATATTTTGTCAATCAAAGTGTATATATTTATAAAGTGTTCAGACAGAATCGAGAAGGCCACACTGTTCTTACCATTGGTCCTTGCATCACGCCCATCTGAGCACCTCCAGCCTTCTCATCAAATCCTCCAGCCATCTGAGCAGCAAAGGCCTGTAAAGAAAAACTCAGATGAGATTGTGGCATCATGGGAGTTATGGAGGCAATGTTGTGATAGATTAAAACACACAAGACTTAAAAGACTAGCAAGTGGTGTGTAATTTTAGGTGTCTTATTGGAATGTATTGATAGCTGTAAACCTGGAAATGTGAGAGATGGATATACTGTATAAATGGATTATCTGCTAAAATATCACATACAAATTTATTTTTGCACAATGTTTTTCCATCTATTTTGCGTTGTGGCACGTTTCCTCTTTTAAACAGTAGCAACACAACATCCACTGAGAGGGTTACTCAGTGCCACTCACTACAACAATACATGCATCTGTGATTCTGTATTTGAAGCATTCATTGACAGTGGTAGTTGTGTTGGTTTCTATTTATAACCAATTGATCTGGTTCACATTTTGGCTAAAGGCTAAGTACTAATATAGTTACAGTGTGAAACATTACAGCTAAGTGCAAATGACTATAGTATACCTGATAATGCAGTGGCACTCAAGAGTATTGTCACTAAATATGTCACACTACTAAAATCTCAATCCTGAGGAAGGGTTGATACTCCATACTATTGATATTGATGTAAATTTCAACACAAAACCCAATATCCATACTTGCTCAAAATTAGTATCTAGTTTCAGTACTAGTTTTAGTATCTGGGTATCATACTTTTGACAACCCTTACAACCACACACTGTTTTTAAAGACTATAAAATAAACGCTACAAAGGTTCCTGATCTCATTTTCCCGCATGCTCAGACTCACCCCTCCAAGTCCTTGTGGTCCGGGTGGTCCGGGTGGTCCGCGTGGTCCAGGGTTTCCGGGTATGCCAGGCTCTCCATCTCTTCCTCGGGGTCCGGGAAGTCCCTGAGAACAAAGAGGAAGAGCAAGACTGTGTTAGGATCATTAATATAGCCGGACCTATTATTGATTCACCTGAAAAAGTGAAATTAATTGTATGTTTTTGAGCTCATGTTTTCATTTCTTACCATATCACCTTTTGGTCCAGGTTCGCCTCGTGGTCCTTGGTCGCCCTAAAAGTTAGATAATATTAACATCATCACTTTAAGTAAAAAAAGTATAGCTAATTTCATTAAGCAAATACTAATCAGTATTATATCTTCTTACAATAGGGCCTTGTGGTCCTGGTGGTCCTCTTGGTCCTATAATCTATAAAACAAAAACGCAAAATTAGGCAGGCTGTTGCTTGTTTAAAAGTAATACAGATTCAGAACTAAAACCTTATAAACTGAATACTTTCTTGGTTAAACAGTGGCTATAAGCTACCACACTGTGTAATATGAATGTGAATTGACAGGGCTGGCTTGGCTAAAAACATCCCCCCATCTTAATCTCTGCTTTGGCGGACATTGTTCTTTTGATGTGCTTTTACGAGACAGGTGCTGAGCAGATCTAAGAGGACTGGACCTGCTTCATTATGTCGAAGGAATGTAGAACTTTCCCCTAATGAGTTATCAAATTAAAGGCTATCATTATTAATTAACTTTCCAATACAAGACAAGGGTCACCCCATTGCACCAGGACATAGAGTTGGGAATTGAATGTTTTATCAAGGAGCTGTGTAGACATAGTATTGAAAGAAATTCAATATTCAAAATTCAATATTTTTATATTATTGTTTTAATTTTTCTTCTCTTATTATTGTGAGAATTATTTGTGAACTTATCATTAACAAATACTTACATCTGCAATGTCTCCTGGTTCACCCTTTTGGCCCTACAAAAATACCACACATGATTTGGTATTATATTCAATTACAATGCATTTAATAGTTATGCACAATGGGACCAACCTACCTTAGCACCAACTGTCATTGTTGTTGCCAGGTAGATGACAAAAAAAAGAGAAAAAATAACATTAAAAGTGGTCAAATGTAAACATGTATTTGATATTAGTGGCAATTAGACAATGATTATAAAACCATTCACCAAGTCCAAAAGAACCAACATAAAATGGTGACATGTAATTGAAATTGTTTATGCCAAAGCAACCCAGGAATGCATTTTAGTAAATAAAACAGAAAACTGTATGTATTTTTGTATATATATTCTGGATCTCCCTATGTATCTCCCATCCCTGCAGTGCACCAAGCTTAAATAGAATACTAAATAAATATTCTTGTATAGTTTCAGACCTGTCTCATTCAAATTCATTCATTCAGAAATATAACAAAACGCATCAGTGCAAACATTGTGTGGATAGCGGCTTATTAAATTGAGTAAAAGCTTTTGTATTAGTTTGAATGGGGACCAGTGAACACATTACACGGGCTATTTCCATTGTAATGAAATGCACTTCCACTGATGGTGCTCTGGTAGCCATCCAAACCACACACTCAAATAGAAAGCATCTCAAGTTGACAAACATGCAGAGTGCTATGTAAAAATTTGACATACATAACATAACATAACTGAGAAAAGTTAAATAGTCACTCTGCACATTTTATACCAGTGGATGCTTTCTTTTGAGTTTAAAGCAACAGTAATTTATTTATAGGTTTGTGAATAAATAAATTACAACCAATAGGTGCAGTTTCATCAGCGGGGCAGATGGGGCAGCACTCTCCAGATGGGATGATAGGATTGGCGCACTCTTTGATGTCTTCACAGATAATCTCATCGCAAAGCACCGCTCCGCTGTCGCACACACAAATACGACACGGCTCTGGCTTCCACACATCTTTATCATTGTACTGCTGTCCGTCCTGACTGCAGCCGCCTGTTATCTCTGCACCGACCAGCAGAGGGGGCAAGAAAGCAGGAGAGGGAGGCAGAATAATAGCAAAGCATGTTAAAATATGTGCAAAGGGTGGGGTAATGTTGGGGTATTTAGGGGCAATTATGAAGAGGAGATGAGAGAGGCATAAAATGGGGTCAAGGGGCAAGTGGGAGGGGTCAAAGCAAAAGGGGAGGAGCTACGAAGAAGGTGGTCAAGGAATGGAAGAATTTAGGTTGAGGTTATATCCTGTTTTAAATGGACATATGAAGAAAGCAGCATTAAACAGCAAGTTAATGTAAACAAAATATGAAGCAAGATGCATTAGACACTCAAAGCAAAGCAAGCCAAATGCACTTTCAAATTGTCCATTCATAGCTTTAAAATATATATATACATATACATATATATGTACAAATTCCATTACTAAATAAAATACTAAATTTGATATAAAATGTAGGTTAAGAACAGTTAGGGTGTGTTTCTAAAGCTGTCTGCAGTTATTCCACGTCTTGCCTGAGTAAATGTTACCCTGTGCTGAGTATGAATGAAGCCCTCTCATCCAGATACTGTGCCCAATTGACAAGCTGCTGCCTTAAGTAAACATGGGGTCCTTCGAAAATTCTCCATCTGGAACTCAAGCTGGTGTCAAGTGCCAGTTCAAACACGCCAGGGAATTAAAAAAACTGCCTGATTTGTTAATGTATGGATTGCAACTAATGCCTTCCTCTGCAATATGCATTTTTTACTCATATTTTTATTTCAATTACTATCCTAACTGAGTACTACTTGTTAAAATATTATAATAATTTTGTTATAATGTAATATATGGGTTCCAACCTGTCAAATGCACCATTTTGAGGACTTTTTCCCATGCAAAAAATATAGCATTTTCTTTTGTGTTAAATCGCTATGGCAACAGTCCTAACTTTTCATCATCATTCTGAAATACAGATTTGACTTGATTTCACTGTGACTATTTTACACCATTCAGTATCTTCATTTCATTCAAAGTAGATTTAAACATTTTGCTTAATCGTCCTTTTTATCTTGCATATTTTTGATTCCCTTCTTCACTGTTTTTGCACAGTCCAAATAAAGGCTGTCTTTTTTGATTGCTTATTGCTGTTAAGATACTTTTAATGAAACTACTATGTTATCTCCCTCTTAAACCAATTGTCCCAGTATACAGGTGTAAGTACATTTATGACCCCTAGGCAGGTGCTGTGATCCTGGAGCAAATTTAAGGCAGGTATTATTGTCTGTGTCGCTATATTAAGGCCTTCATCTGTTGACCCCCTGCTGAGTGAGTCTTGTGTCTCTGCTCCCTGTGAGCCTGTAGGACTGGGGTCAAGCCTGGTCTGACCTCATCACTTCACATCAGCAGCAGTCACACCCAAAGTGGGCCAATTTCACTGCTCTAAATTGTAACAATAAACTCACTGTTCATGTCTAAGATCATTTCCTACAATCTGTGCTTTAAATATTTGCCAAAAGATTACCAATGACTTATAAATTAATAAAGCCTGCAGTAAATTAAAGTTAAGTAGGTAAATATAGACTGTTGTTCACCTTGTCTGTTTTATGTGCTCTGGCATTCTCTCCTAATCAGAATTATAATATAATACTCTACTTAGCTCACTGCCCTTGTTCTTATTTGTCTAAGTCCTTATTTATCTTTCATATTTTTCTACTGCTATGTGACCATTTAAAACTACCACAGAATGCACATAAGATACATTTGGGCATATATGTAATAAGGCTACACAGACTGGGAGACAAACTGATTTTGTAATGCCAATAGCTTAAAATGGCTGGAAAAGTCCTATTACAGCTGTCAACCTGCCACAACAGGTGGCTGTTCGACTAGACTGTGTTTTCATGATTTGAGCTCAGTTTGGTCCTGATGTAGACTTGGTTTGGTCCTGTTCTAGTCTTGGTTTAGTACTTATCTTGTCTAATTTTGGTCCCAGTTTAATTTTGCAAGTTAAAATGCACACTTCGACTTAACCATCACAATAAGGACGGAGAAAGCAACACACAAAAATGCAACACATATGACAATGAAAAACAGTCCAAAAAATTTTAAATCAAGAATAAAATCAAACTTACGGTCAATCCCTTGACATCTCACCACAGATAGTAAAACGACTTGGGATGCTACAAGTAGCAGGAGAGTCCGTGAATCCACAAAGCCAAACATGTCTAAATATTAGACATGCAATAGCTCAGGGTAAGAAGTTGAGGGGAGCTGAGCCCAGGCGATGGTCAGTCAGTGGAGTGTGGTGGGGGATCCAGAGACTTAAGGGACCATGGACCGATCTCCCAAACCTAAGAGAAATCCAAAAAGAAAAGGGGCCCCGGCTGGCACTCTGCACCCACCGCGTCAGGGCAAGCACCGCGGTTTTATGTCCACTGTGCCTTCTATGGATCTTGGTATATTCAGAGATGCCAGTCCTTCCCCCTGACCCCCTGTGAAGCTGAAACCTGATGCCCTCCCCTCCCCTTCATCCGGCAGCAGCATCACTCTCCCAGGGACTTTTTTAAGTTCCTCCTCTGACCTGCGTGGCCTGGGCTGCCCATTGGATGCACCTTCACTTTTACTTTAAAGGACCACTACCTCAAGGGCCTGACAGTAATGTAGTTATAAGCAAATAGAAATTAATGGCAATCATACATTACAAAGTCAGTGCAAAAAGACTAACACTTCTACCTCAACCATGTGGCCTATTCATGGGTTTCAGAATGATATGTAATTAAAAATGTTGCTGTAGCAGTTAACAATTCAAAATATAATATTTTATCACTTGAACGGTAAAAAGTTCCCAAATTGTTGCATTTTGGTGTGTTTGTTTGAAATTGATAATAAATTCATCATACTGAAACTCATAGATATTCAGGAAGCTGAAACCCATGAATTGATTTGTATTAAGAATTATTCCTAATCAACATAAAGCAGGAGAAGTATTTTCTGTTTAATTGTGTTAACAATAGTGTGAGCTGCTTAATGTGAAAGAATTTATGCTATTTCCAGATATCACAAAAACCTTTCTTTTGCTAAAACTGCTTTGTACTGACCTATCACATTCTTGGCAAGGTTTTCAGAATGGCATTAAGTTTTTAGCTGACTCTGAATAGCCCACACTCGAGTACAAAGAGATTAAACACTAATATGTAAAGGATTTAACTATAAAGCAATTGGTTTTTTTAGTGTTCTTCAGAGTTTATTGGACCATATACTTGAGTAATTATAATTAGTTGAACTTTTAAGGGTCAGTAAGTTATTCAGTTTAGTAGCTCTTAAGTTAACACAATGTTTGAACAAAAGCAACTGACACATACTTGAGAAAACCACTTAAACCAAAGAACTGGTAGAGCTAATGAAGCAGAAAGTGGATTTTACTAGTAGAATACGGTCAGTTGTTTGATATGATTAACTTAGGGCAGGTTGCGCCATTATTTCAAAATAAAAGTAGTTAAATTGAGGTAAAAAGTAGAAAACTAGTATATACTCAAAAATGAAAAAATATGTGGTTGAATACTATAGCAAATATTTTGACGTGAGGGTATTTTTATGGTTTGGACCCAGTTTAGTGACGTTAGTCTTCCTCTAGTCCTGGTGTAGTCCTGGTATAGTACCAGTTTAGTCCTGGTTTAGTCCTAGTTTGTTGTTTGTTTGTTTGTTTATTAGTGCAAGTAAAAGCGTCCTTATCGAAATTTTAGTATTGATTAAAAAAAAGTGTCACTTTTTAACATCAATTTGTGCGCTTTGTAATGGATATTTAAATATTAATATCAGCAAATATCGGTTACTGACCTCAACAGTAGGACAAATATTGAGTATCGGTATTAGCTTTCCAGGTTAACATGTTTTTTGCCTTATAAACTTTACCACTTATAGACAAATTCTGTAACCTATAAAATGTAAGAATATTGGTAATATTTTGTTTTATTATTTACATGACATTATATTAATATTTCTTTGCTACCCATCTATTGTCATGGCATGCATTGATCTCAGCTCTTCACTGAATCCGGGTTGAAGTATAATTAAATATGTGATGTCTCTCGTACCTCTTTCGCAGATCTAGGCCCAGGTGACTGTGGCTGAATGGGGGTCTTTGTCATCCGCAGAGGCACAGTAATTCTAGGGTCACGACCTTTTCCCGAGCCCCCCTCATTCCACATACAGAACTCAACCATTCCAGACACCATCTTAACTTCTGTCCCTTTTGGCAGAGTTCATTAACCTATCAAAACAGAAATTAGTAAGTAAGACATGTGATCTCTTATCTTTATCCTTGAAAGTGTAATATATGTATTGGAATTGACATAATCTAAAATTCAGTTTTGACAGGGTTTGTTTACATTTGCTAACTTTCAAGGAAGTTCTGACTGGTTTCTTATGTCAAGTAAAAATGTATGCCAGTGGGGTAAAGAAATTGCCTGTAGTAGTACTAGTAGTAGCAGCAGTAGCAGCAGCAACAGCAGCAGCAGCAGTAGTACTAGTAGTAGTAGTAGCTGTAATAATAATAATAATAATAATACACTTGATTCATTAAACACTCAAAGCGATATATATGTTTTTTTTTCAGTCACTCAATACTTGGTGGTGGTATGCTACTGTAGCCACAACTGCCCTGATCTAGACTGATGGACGCAATTCTGCCTATCTGCGCCACTGGCCACCTCCAACAACCATCAATCACAATCACCAGATTCATAAGTGTCTTGCCTACGGACACAACAACAGTAAGCACTATAGACCACTGCCAACTGACTACTCCCATCCAAGTACGAGCTGCAGGAATTTTAAAAAATGATCTAAAAATCTGTACAAGTCCAGTCCAAGTCAAGTCCACGAGATATGATTTTCACTTTTTACAGGTGAATAGCTCTAATTTTAGCCCTATTGTTCACCACGTAGTTAAGAGCTGCTGTGAAGTTAGCAATATCATTAGGATTTAGCTCAACTCAACAAACACTGGTGTTTAGACGCTACTAAGTAAAACATTTGAGGAATTTAAACAGCCAGCTGAATCAATAATGTTTGTGTGCACCACTTGGACAATAGAGCTGTAGACACTGGTGCAGTTTGCTGAGTCAGGCCAAGTCACTGTAACTTGTCAAGTTTTAGAACAATACTAACCTAGAGATACAGTGTTATGGTGTGTAAATAAATTAAATCCTCCCCAGAGCTACCAGTAATTCCTCATCCCTGTCAAAATATCTCCTCAGTGGTTCTGAAATCAAAACTTGACTTGACTTGACTGTATTCAGTGTTTAAAAAATATATATGTATGTGCATCTCTTACAACATTGCATTAGAACAAAACACTTAGCTGTTAACGATGCAATGACTGACTTTACTCAAGTTTATCAAGCATGCAACGTTTCTGGTGGAGGGTGCCCCATAATTGCTTGGAATGTTCCACACTATATAGCATTATACTTATCTCCCTGTATTTATTCAGTTATCTGTAATTCATTCAACAAGATACATTGTAAAACTCTTACTGTGACTGGGTTCACCTCTCCTCAGATCTGACCTGTAACTTGAACTAGATAAGTATAATGCCAGACTGTGGAACCTCCCAGACAAAGTAATATTATCTTTATGGAGACTTTCTACCAGAAAAGTTGCAGAGTGAGGCTTTAAATATATTCACAAGCTCGGAAATGGGTCAAAATGAATTCATGTTAGAAAAATGAAGTGCCTCTTAGCCATTTTCATTCATAAAATTACTCTCTGACAATAATCTCAACTTTAAATTGACTTTGATTTCTCTTTTTAATTACCTTATAAGCTACAAATACTATTAAAATAAGACCAACAAATATGCATAGTTAATATTTTGAAGCATAGTTCTATATAAAAGTAATACATAGTGCTTCTGTTCTACTAATTAATGTTATTATCATTTAACATTTCTCTGTTGACTTTAATAACCTTCTGCCTATCTCAATATAACCAACAACTTTATATATAGTTTGCATGGCCTCATTTTGCACTAAGAATCCAGTGTTCATTTGGTACATGTCCTCTTTCTCGGGCCCTCTGACTGTATATTACCTGCTGCTAGCGTCTCCTGCCTCACACAATAGGGCTCTGTGTGTGCGGCCGCGGAATGCTGTGAGATGGCAGGGCAGTGGGATAGCCGGTGCAGCGGAGGGGGTCGAAGGAGAGAGGAGGTGGAGAGGGGATGAGAGGGTAGTGACGGGATCAGGCCAGGCTCCAGGGGTCTACAGGGTGGATAGGTACACCGACCCAGGTGAGGGCTGCTTCCAGTCTGGTCCAGTGAGGAGAGACAAGTCTAATGGTGTGTTCACACTTGTCCTGGTCCTGGTTTGAGCTGAGTTTAGTCCAGGTGTAGACTTGGGTTGATCCTGGTCTAGTCCTGGTCCTGTCCTGGTCTTGTCAAGTTCGGAATTTAGTCCCAGTTTAGCACAAGTTTGGATGTGGTTTGTGTGCAAGTGTGAACACACCCTAAGAGAGAGCAGTGAATAGGCACCGCAGTATAGTACTGTACAGATGCTACGACTGATCAGCTGATATCTGCATCTGCATAACGGAAGAACTGATTAAAGGTTCACTATGCAACCTATTGTCTCCATGGTGATTTTTATTGTCTGGAATGTTGCTCAATATAGCTTTTACTGTACAGCTTTCTTACTGTGAAAGGAGTGACCTCTCCACAGATCTGGACCTGGCCTGTAACTTGGCCTGGTGCCATCAAGTGTTGTCTCCATGAAAATACATACATTTAATCTGAACATTCCAGGCAACGTTCCTTCTATAGAGGAAGGCAAGTGGCTGACCCTCCACCAGAAAAGTTACATGCGACTTTACAGTACAAACAGTTCTCCTTTAATATCATTAGAATATACCTTTGGATTCCTTTGTATCTGGTTTCTAAAAAGGGTTGAATCAAGCAGCCATGACGTCATTCAGAACTAAATGTTAAGTCATGGTTATAGGTGGTCTACAACTTGTTGGTTTGAGCAGTGTAGTATACTTATTTTACCTTTATATCTCATCCACTGACCCCCAGTTTGGTTCCAAATCCCACAGATGAATACTGCTGTTGTGTCCTTGGGCAAGACACTTAGCTCACCTTGCCCCCAGTGTCTGTGTACACCGGTGTGCGAACGTGTGTGTGAATTGGTGAGTGGTTCCTTGATGTAAAGTGCTTTGAGTACCTTGAAGGTGGAAAAGCACTATATAAAAATTAGACCATTTAAATAAACACAATAGTTATGTACTGAGAAAACAAAATGAGACTTAAGTCTGACAAACAGGAGGGATGCAGTGAAACAGCTCACACTGATCCTCTCAAGTACAAAAAATGAAAAGGGTGAAAACGTTGCACAAGAGCTTGCATTATGTGAGAGCATGTTTGAATGTACTCCATAAGGACATGCTCTGACTTACCTTTAGCATGACCCAATTACATGTCCTCCCTACACTCGCTTGGACAGGGATCTTCCTTCCATACCTGAAACCACAAAATCATTCACATATTTAGCTTATTATGCTAAAGGTAACTTTGTTGTTGACATGAGCCCATCTAATTTTAGTAAGTTTATAGTTGTTCATGATATAATTACATCAACTGCCACTCAATCAGCACCTAGCCTCTCTTTTTGGTGTTCTTCAGCTTTGAGACATTTATAGTCTATTCACACTTGCACAAACACCACTTCAAGACTGGGACTAAACATGGACTAGGTCGGAACTGAAGCAAAACCAGGACCAAACCAAACCAAGTCTAGATCAAAAACCAGGACCAGACCAGCAGGATTAACACACCCTTCGATTCACGAGACGATACTTAACATAGGATTTCAAACCAAGAATTCAAGTGAAAAAGTTACTAGTTTTTCACATAAAAGTACATTTTAGAAAATATATATCTTTCTTACATGGTGGCAGTGCAGGCATATTCAATTCTATTTTATTAATCGAAAAATGACATAAAAAGCATTGAGAGAGCAGCTAGGCAATAACAGATTAGAAATGTGCTAATTAACTCATCTAAGTGGGTGCTTGACTACTGCAACAACAGGTCAAATATACCTCCTTTTGCAATACTATCATTAAAATCCAGGTACAAGTTTCGACCTGAGTGTAATGAGTTAGCATCATTCTCTGTAACACACTTTTAAGCTGCTTGTGCTGAAGACCCGGGCCTCTCCCCACACCTCCAGATTAGTGGGGCTGAATCAAAGCCCCGTCTGGGTATGCTTCTTTTCCTGTGCTAGCTAAGGGGAAGAGGTTAAGTTTGTGCAGGCCCAGCGAGTGTGGTGAGGGGGGCTTTCTCACACAAGACGGAGGATGAAGGGACAAAGGTGGCATTCATTGGCCCAGGAATGGAAAACATTTTCTCCTGAAAACAGAGAAGCTACAACCGGCAGAGGTAGCACAAGAAGGCCATGGGTGAGCACTGATCAGCAGCACCCATTTAGAGGAGTCCCTTAGAAATACAGTGGGGACCACCGCTGGCTTAGGTCCTGCTAGGGCTGTGCAATGAATCAAAGTAATGTATGTAATCTGAACTATGAATCAAAACATGTGATTGAGATTCGATTTTTTCATAATAGAACACCAACAAAGTCATGTTTGTATCAGAAATGTTACTGTGAAAAACGTGCATCCTCATTCAGGACTATACTGACTACATGAAACTATTTGGGACCGAGGGAGGCTTGTCTCCAGTCCCAACAAACATCTCTAGGCCAGTGTCAAACTCCTAAAATAACAAAGATTGGCATTCCAAACTGCCAAACTCAAAGCAGTAATAAAGTAGCCTTGAGTCTAATGTGTGGTCTTATCAGGACGTAAACTTACATTAAAGACTACTGTAGGCAGGAATCCACATTTACTAGGCTATTTTAGGACTCTTGCATGGGCATTTTCAATTTTCCCCCTCCCCCCTGAAATCCTTTTGCATAGGGTCCTAAAACCATTGCTCTAAATAGTAATAATAGGTCTTTATTCAAGTTTTGAGCAAACCCTGATCATATTGATCACTTTCCTCACTGAATTAATTCACTGTGTTGTCGTTTTTATGACCACCCCAAACTTTGAACCACGTTTGAAGCTCATTACATTGATCTAGAAATGTGGTCAGACAGTGATTGCTCCATTTTTCATAGAAGAATGGTGAGGTTTAAAAAATCCCCTTCAATCCCATTTGTCTCCCAAATAAAACACAAATAAAGTTTAATCAAATTCAAAACGGAACTGGGGCTAACATGAGCTACCTTCAAAGACAGGAAGCACCGTAGGCTACTTCAGAAACACAACGGGATATCTTTGAGGGTGTACTTCTGATTCAGGAATGCTGCCAAAAGTCTAGAAGAGAGGCGAAGTCTCAGACACATGACTGTGAGATGTCCTCCGACACAACAAGTGCCAGACACACGCACTGATGCACTGACCCGAGCGGCGGGGTCCTGGAGCCACTGCGCCACCCACAGGAGAGCGCAGGAAAAACACGTGTGCGTCCAGTGCACATGCGGCACATTGACCACACGGTGTCGCTATTGGAAAAGGAGAGGGGGCAACAACGCCGATCGTTCTTGGGAGTTGTTGGAGAAGTTACAAGAGCTCCTGACTCCTTAGCCCAGTCCATACTTTACCTGTTTAAATATTTAAGGCTGATTAAATTAATTGTAAGTTCACACTGTTTGCAGACGACTACGGTGATAACAGGTAACCTTTGATTGATACAATATTACAATCTCATGCACACTCAAGCCTTCATTTGTGTGAATTATCAAATGTAATCATGCTAGTCTGCATTATTTGTATCTTACTACCAAGTTGATTAATAGTGGTTCCTGTATGTATTACACACAGAAATGATCAGGGAGCAACCTTTTTTGTTTTATTTACTTCCAATCTTTATTAGTGTATGTGAACCCCGGTCCCTCACTTTGTCCTGGATATTGCTTTACCATAACTTTTCTCAGTGGCCTCTCAGTCAAGCTGTAATTGCATTAGATTTTGAAATTGTATTTTGTCATTTGTCTGCACAGGGTCATCTATGTTTATATTGAATTCATTTATTTTGCTTTGTTTGAAAAGTTCCACAGTAGCGTGTTACACAGAGCTATGGAGAGAAACAGGTCAGACAGAGAGGCGAGCCAGCTCACTGTGAGAATGCATAATTTTCAAGGTATGTTTAAACAATAAAACACCTGTTCAAATACAAGATAGATTGGTTTAATGCCATACTCTGGAACATTCCAGGCAGAGCAATCACATCCCCAAGGGCGATCAGGCTGCATGCAGGTTCCATCGGAAAAGTTACATAGTCCCCCATGAATGTATTATTGTATAATTTATTTTCTTAATGGCAGGCTACATGTAACTTGAGAGTCTGCTCTTGTCAATTGCTTTGTCTGGAATGTTCCACAGTATTCTATTGCACTTATCTATTTCCATGGAGACAAGGACTAAAAAAAGTTAAATAAACAGTGCTTGCATTATGATGACAATATGATGGCCTACCTATAGGTATAGGAGGTGTAGGTAGGGTTTAAAATAAAACCAGTTAAAATTCATGCACAAAATCCAAATTAATTCAAATAGATTAAAGTGTTACAGGTCAAGGCAAAACCAACAGGTGGCTACAATAGTTTTAAACTGTCAATCGTTACGGCAACAGCCTGAGTGTTGCATCATTCTGGAACCCATGGGTAATGTGAATGGTAACTCCTGGCTGTGTTGCTATCAGCTGCCCCAGTGACTGTACGTGAGTGGCTCTTGTCATGAGGTCAGTCTGTCTGTATCGGAGCTCCGCCTCCTCCTCCTCTCTGTGCATTTGATCTGTGACTGTAAAACGCCACCTGCTTAAACTCACTGAGGACTAACTGCTCTGCCCACAAGTCTCCTCCCCAGCAGCAGAAGCAGACTTCTCTATACTTTTCTTTTACTAATGCATTGCTTAAAAAGGACAGCTAACCCCGGGCTTCTGCAGTTGTTAAAACATGCAGGGCCCAGTGCCAGGCTTGGATGTGAGGGTAGCTCTGTGTTGTGGCGGACTCTGCTCCCTGCTCCTCTCTCCTCGGGCTGGGGGATCACAGCATCACCCACTCAGCCCCAACGAGCCCTGCATCAGACTTGCCCTGAAGACCAAGGACACACCAAGTAGGTTACATCAAATGGACTGTTTCAGTTTAATCTGGTGTAATGCATGTTCAAGACACACAATTAGAATGAGAAAACTATTGGAAGGACATATGGCAAGGACTGACCAGAAATGACAACATATTTTCATTCTAGAATATTGAAGTAAGCATTAAACAACAAGGAGCAGTTCACACTTCACGGAGGAACACCGCTGCATGTATTAAAACTGCACAAGTTGTTTAATGCGCTTATACCACAGCTACAAACTGAAATGTCTAACTTGTAAATGTGAAAAGCCTGTTCACTGTCTGTAAATGTCCAAAATATCAGCTATTATCAGCTACTTCAATGTTTTAAATGATACTAGTTACTACATTTTATCCCCAGGAGTTGAACATTTGTTTATTGATGTCGTGGCGACGGCCGCATAGCAGTGATATAAATCAGTGATTTGGGTTTTGCCAGACTACTACTGCGTTATGCAGTATTAATACACAACAGTTAGTTAGTATAACAAACAATACCATATTCATTCAGATTGATGACCTTTTATGGTAAGTATATAGTACAGTACCAGACAAAAATTTGGACATATAATTTCATTCAATTTTTTTTTTCTTTCTTTTTACTAGAAAACATCAAATATATGAAGTAAGATACATGGAATTAGGTAACAAGGAAAAACGTTATTCTAAAAGTAACTCTATTAAAAAAAAACTAAAAAAACCAAAACTACATATTCTTAATATAACTAGCCACCCTTTATTTTTTTTTACTTTATTTAACCTTTTCCTTTACTCCATTATTCAGAAAATCTTGCCATATGTACCTTTCTACATTTTGAAAGTAGTAAAAATAAAGAAAACAAAAACAATGAATAACAGAGTGTGCCCAAACGTTTGACTGGTATGTATTCTTATACACCATTACTCTAGACACATTATGTTTGTTACAATGCATGCAACGTTGACTTAAACTTAAAATATAAGGGCTGCGCAAGATTGCAAAATTATTCATTCAGTTCATTATGATAATTCTAAAATGTGATAATGTCATGAACCTGCTGCCTTCCATCTGTGTTCAGTATTATTGGCATTTAGAACGTTGTGACTTCATCTGAAAGTCACAAATGTTCTAGCAGTTTTAATGATTTATATTTTTGTTGTACTGACTTTTAATTGAACTTTGTTGTCGTATGAGACATGAACCCACATTTGCCCTCAGACATGACCTCACACAGGCAGAGTTTGTGTGCGCTGATGCATCAATATTGGTCCGTGCGCCAGTCTTTCTCAACAGGTCATGTGATTGACGTAGAAGATTTATGTATGTTTAACTAACTTTCTCTTTGTTCTCTGTGTCTCCTCCTCCTCCTCCCCTTTCTCTTTGACCCCCTCCCTTTTACTGTTCCTCACCCCTCTCTCTTTGTCTCTCTCCTATTGCCTCTCTCTTATTCCTCTCTCTCCTTTCTTCCACCTCTCTTTTGTCTCCTCCTCTCTCTGCCCCCCCCCCTTCTTACTCCCTTTCACCCCTCTCTTCCTCTCTCTCACCCCCTGTCTTCATCTCACCCCTTTCTCCCTCACTCGATCTTTGTCTCTCCTCTTCCTCTGTCTTTCCCGCTCTCTACCCTTATGCCTCTCTTTGTGTCTTTCCCTTTCCCTATTTCTCTCAATCTCTCTTTCTTCTCCCCTCCCATCTCTGTTTCTCATCCCACTCCATTTGTCTCTGCCTGTCTCTCTTCCTTCATACATTGTCCCTTCTCCCTCTCTCTGTAACCTCCCTGTCGCTCCATCTCTCTCACTCCTTTCTCTCTCTTTCCCCCCCTGCTGTTTTGCTTGTGTAGATACAGGCTAATGGAGGGGATGGAGGACCTACTGTTTTACACCATCACTGAAGGCAAAGACACCATTCCCCTGTCACAGTTTGTCTCCGTGAGTCAACAACAGCCTTCACACTTCACCTGTCACTCAATGTTGAGACTTTCCACTGCGGCAGCGCCAGAGGACACGCCTGATGTTTACGAATTAACCTTGGCACTGAAGGAACTAGAGCTGCAAAAATTTAATCACTATTGAATCGTAATCCAAATTAGGGTATCTCACGCACATTTGTTTGCATTCAGTTATTATTTCCCAGTGATAAACAAGTGAGGCCACTAACCAAAGCTACAAGTCAGATCTGTGGAGAGGTGATCAGGCTTACAGTGCAGGTTTTTCAAAATTTTTTGAACTCTGAAAATATGTACCTTTTCGCAAAATTGACTTCTGTGAGCATTAAGCTATATTAGATCTTCACGAAAAACATACCTGAAGTTGTGTTTTGTTTCATTCACACATGTTTGAGTAATCCTGGTGCATCATCTCCAAAGCTCAAAATGCTCTGTTCCAACTTGTGATGTCATGAAGCGATAATATTCAAATTAATAGCTGCCTTTTACCTTTGTTCAGTAGAGATAGTAGACAGAAAGCGTCCAAATAATTCTAGTAAAGGTGTATGACAGGGGTCTTCAGCCTTATCCTCGGGTGAGCTACCTTTACAAAACGAATATTCCAGAGAGCTACTAATTTTAGCGGTCGCAGGAAATAAAGTATACATAAAAGCCATGGGAAGACTTAGATGGGGTACAGTTGGATAAAACATAGAACATAAACCAGTATTTATTTATGAGTGCACAAAGTCAGGCATCAAAATAATAGGTTTACAATAATAAAAAGCATTTAATTCATCAAATTTGAGTTTTTCAGGACAATACGTGTAATTCAGGAATCCCTTGGCAAGCTACTTGAAAGGGAGCTACTGGAGTTTAAAAACACTGGCGCACTTCTTATATGACACGACATCACATGGTGAAGCAGAGTGTTTTCTGTTTTAGAGAAGCACTACCTAAATCTGAAGGATTTTGGTATTCAACACGTGTGAATGAAGAAAAAGCTCCAGGTATGTTTTTGATGAGGAAACAACATTATAAGACAGAGCAGAAATTAGTGTAATATGGGCCTGTTTAATTCCACACAGTGTAACATGCCAAGCAAAGTTACATACAGCAGCTTTAAATGAAGTCACAGTTGATTTTACAATACATACATTACATTGTAAATCTTGATCTCATGCACATTTGTTCAGGGTTGAAATACTATTGCCCCTCCTATGGGATTCAATTACTCCATATTATCTTAGTTTGAGCTTAACTACCAATAATGAAGTTACAGTGGACCTGTTTCCTGTTCTGAAAAGCATGTTAGCTGCATTATTGTTGCTCTGTCATAGGCCTATATTCTTAGCAACTAGACTTCTGCTATATCCCACTTGTCCAAGTCCAAATTATTTTAGATTTATGTTTTTGCTATTACTAGACAGTAAAACTGAAAGGCAACCGGGGCTATTTCATTTTGACTTTGATATTTATTATACAGGATTTTATTATGTAAACTGGGAACCCTGTTTCTTGTTGCTGAGTTGACCTTGACATGGGAAGTGACAGAAGGTATAAAGAAAGACAAAGCATGTCCTCAGCTGAATTCTTCGTTGTGGTGAGAAGGTGTTTGGAGCAGAGCTTATGTAATGACTCTAAAAATAACATCTGGCATATTTCGAAGTTCTAGGGCACATGGGTTAAACCTGTAACAAATTCTGACAGGGCTATTAGTATACTGCTATAGTATATTAGTATAGTACTACAGAAAATCTTATATTTTTAATCATAAGTAAAAGCACTCTATCATGCTGGTATCTTACAGCATGCCAACTTAGACTTCACCTTTGATTTCTGAATTTAACAGATCTAAAATAAAGCATAAGAAACAACACTACAAGAATCTACCATTGTCCAATGATCCCTCCTTTTGTGGCAGCAAATTCACATAGGTTCACACACTGAATAAATTTAAATTCTTTTATAGTGAATGATAACTTGTATAAATTAGACTATCTTGAGTTGTTAAACTAATACATTTTACATATGCGGTCCTGTTACAAAATGACGGAGAAAGGCAGTCATTGCACATTAACCTCTGTGTAATCTGAAAATCATTTTTAGCTCAGATTGTGAAATAAAGATCTCGTGTCATGGCTGACTGTATGTATTGTATTTGGAAATAGGTCAAGAGCTTGTGTTAAATGTTATTTCAATCGATAAAAGGTTGGGGGAAATTCAGGACCAGTATCAACATAATTACAGAGTTAGCAGAAAGACTTTGAATTACTCACATACAGTCCCTGGTGTACCATTAAAACAACAGGCACTGCACTGTGTAATGAAGAGAGTGCTGGGCTTTGAACAACAGAGCAGTTTAATTGATTCATATGATAAACAGTGCTTAAATAATCTGCAAGCTGTTTAGTTTGTAAAGAAAAGGCTTTTAATAGAGAATATAATGGAGTTGGATGTTGGATATATTGAATTAAAAGGTAGAAAGGACAGACTGACATGGTTTGGACAAGTAGCTGAACTAGAATACACGTATTTATTGCAGTATGTTACTATTTGGATTGCAATTGGTGCATTAATAATCAGCTAAACTAACAGAAGAATCACAAAGCTTTTAAAAAATAGGTTTAACAGTTTTGGTGCTGTACATAAGACCCTCAGACTGATTTTTTTTTTTTAGTTTTTCTTATCTGGCTGTTGAACTATACAGTATGACTGAACTGGGGTAGTGCTTTAGTTTTTCCTCGAGTGAAGCTCAAAAGAGGGAGCCACTGTTTGTGTGAATGTTCATGTACGTTAGGGAAAACAAGGACTGTGACAAGTTTGTGTTATATTTTTTAATAGTAGAATTATGTTAAGAATTTAAATTTTAAACACAGGAGCATTAACGATTAAGAGAAGAGCAAAATATGAAGTGCTAAAATATCACAAGTGACCTGTGTGATTCAGAATGATCGAGGTCTAAGCAACTACAGGGTTAGAGGGTTGTTTACAGAGAAAATTATCTTACAACTGCATCCATTCAAACTATGATTGTAATTTAATTGCAACTGTAGTCTTACTTTATATTTAGCAGTGCCTCTACATTAGAACATGTGCTTAAATAGTCTCATGTCTGCTGCTTATGAATTAAGAGAGCATGCCTGTTTTTAGTACAGCTCAGGTGGAGCCCATGAGCCTGAGGGCTGACTTCATGTGAGAGGAGAGTTACATAAGTGTGAGGGGCCACGAGTGGACAGCCCATTGCCCCATTTTTGCCAAGTCTGAATTACTGTTTAAAAAAAATCTTTAAAATTCTTAGACTCTTAGATTTTTAGAAAGTACTGTAATCATAATTTTTCATAATATTTGTTTAATCTACTTTGAGCTTAACATGTCTGGAGAACAAGTCCATACACTGATCTTGTATTTAATCCTGTTTCTTGCTTAGTCCTGTTTTTTTCTTAACTATATGCACCATGTTGTTTACTATCATTCTTAACTGTATCTTTCTCCCCCTCTCTTCTGTCTCAGGCCTTAAAGAAAACTGGTTTGTTGATGTCTGATCCTCGGCTGCGTGACTGTTTGAAGCAAATAAGGCAAGCCTCGCGTGAATCCAGCAGCCACGCCATGATGGACAAGGCGCTGTTCAGAAGGTGCACGCTTATACCTGTGTGTTCATTCTTATCACATTTAAATGTCGTATATTGTGCAAACTCGACTCCTTCTTCATTCTTGTCACATTTAAATGTCGTATATTATAGAAACTTGACTCCTTCTTCATTCTTGTCACATTTAAATGCCGTATATTATGCAAACTTGACCGCTGTGAGCTTTAAACCATGTTAGAACGCTGTTACCTCATCAAAAGCATATGCGGAGTTGTGTTTTATTTCATTCACACATGTTTGAGTAATGCTTTATTATTAGTCTCTTTACATCTCCAAAGCTCAAAATGCTCTGTTCCTCCTTATGATGATAGAGGTATTTTTTAAGATAACAGTCACCTTTTACTTTTAGTTAAATACAGATTTGCAATTCCAGAGCTGAAATCATCCAAATGATTCTAGAGAAGGTGTATGGAGTTTAAAAACACAGTGGAGCACTTCCTGTATTATCTCATGACATCATAAAGTGGAATAGAGTTTTTTGTGTTTCAGAGAAGAACTCATCCTAGCAGGATTTGTGTGTTAAAATGGGTGAATAAAACAAAACACAACTCCACGTATATGTTTGATGAGGAAATAACATTATTTTATATTATTATATTATAGATTAAAAAATAGCATAATGTAGGTCCTTTAAAGTGCAACTAATTAAAAAAATAATAATTATGTAGTGTTGCCTTTCCTGGACATTCATATCACCTAATATCAAGTAACCATTCTCATGCTTGGCAAAGAGATTGAAGTGTCTTGCCAAAGAGTACAAAGGCACTGATGCAATAATGATGAACCATCCAACCTTAGCCAGCTAAGCTACTGTCAAGGCTTCTAATAATTTTTTGCTGCCAGCTTGTCTTAAAATGCGACTTGACAATAAAAAGCAAGAACTTTTCATTATTTTCATATACATTTTAACAATATTTATATAAAGGAGTAATAGCACTAGCTTTAATTCCATAATGACAATATTGTAGAGAGCGTAGCATTAGCAGTTGTAATATCCATATAATCATTCACGTTCAGTCGTGTATCTATTTAATGCTCAACACTAATTATTCACAGTCCATCAGCCTTCTCTTGAACAAATTATTTCAAGCTTATTAAAAACACAGCTTTTAAAAGTTTCTCTGGGATCGTTTTGCACCACCTTGGAAAATATTTGGCCACGCAACCATTTTTAATTTATTATAACACTGTGACTAAAATCAGAAATAAAACTGGACTAAATAAAGCTCAAACTATGGCTACATTTGGACAAGAATATCAGCTCTTTCTAGGAGTAAACAGCATAACTACAGGGCTTAGCTATATACCTATAAGGGATCGCTACTGTAGACTGTCTCAGCCTTTTCAGACCTAGTCAACAAAGAAAATATTTGGCTTTCCCAGTAACACCAGGTCTAAAACAGGACTAAACCAGGACTAAAATAGAGTTGAACCATGGCTTAAACATTTAGTCTTTCTAGGTCTGCCACCTGCATGTCTCCATGGAGATGTTATTGCTTTGCATCTTGCATAATAGATGTAGGTGTTTTTATTGTAAAGGAAATACTTTGGGGGAAAAAACCTAAACAAAAAAAACTTCCATACACTGAGCAGAATCAACCCTCCACAGAAATGGTCTGTAACTTAACTTTTTGGCCATAGAAAACAAGCAGGTTTGGACCCTTTGCCAGTACATATTAAAGGTCCTATATCATACAGAGCTTTCAGCCTTGTTATAATGCCGTTACCTCCTCAAAAACATACCTGGAGTTGATTCATCACACATTTGAGTTTCAGTAATTTTTTATTATTAGTCTACAATTCCATGTTCAAAATGCTTTATTCCACCTTGTAATGTCATGTAGTGGTAGTTTTCAAGTTAACAGCTACTTTTTACTTCTTGTTCTGTAAAGACTGGCAAATCCAGAGCTGAAATCCTCCAAATGATGAGCTTGTGAAGGTGTATCGACTTTAATAACACAGTGGAGCACTTCCTATTAGCACATGACATCAAGGTGAAGTGTTTTCAGTTTAAGAGAAGAACTCAGCCTAATTATGGTGGGTTTAAACATGTGTGAATGAAACAGAACACAACCCCACTTTTGTGTTTTTGATGAAGAAACAACATTATAACATAGATCAAGAAATAGTATAACTTGTAAATCCAATTATGAAAGTAAGAAAGCATTAGAATCACTATGTCACCTTACTGAGGTCAGGGCTGTAAAACTATTAAAACTTGTTCTTTCTGACACTGGTTACGCACTGGACATAGACGAGTACTAGGTCTCCTTTTCTCCCTTCCATCCCAGCACGCACAAGACAGAGCCCAGGCGGACTTGTTTTAAATATGCATCTACAGTGAGACTTGTGAAGCAGAAGCACGGAGCACCCTCTTCTCCAGGTGTCACCCAAACACCAGCTCTGAGGGGGCCACCATAATCACCATAATAACTCTGTGTCTCTCACTTTCCTTCAGCAAGACTGAAAGTGTTGACTCTTCTGCAGTGGGTCACTCTCTAGGTGCTCTAGCCCCTGCCCTCAGCTTGTTTAGACATCTTTGCAGAATAACTACTGATAGCTCACCAAGTTAGCGAGACACACAAGCCATGAGACATGCTTTACTTAGTAGCTGGTAGTCACAATCCTCAGCCTCTCTGACTTGCAGGAGTGACATGAGGCTCCATCTTTATTATATTACAACAGCGCATGATCTTGTGCACTACAATATATTGCCCAACACATGTAGTAGCAATCATCTCACTCTAACACTGACACTGTGGACATCAGATGGGAGAGGAGGAGAGCAACTGTGTGTCCTGCAGGTGTCCCTGTTGTGACCACGCCCCCCTTACAGACCTGAAGACTGCCATGTCAGACATTAAAGAATTTAGAAAAATGGCAAGATTAGGTGTGGGGGTTAGGGTATGGGTTAAGGTCAATGTCAGGGGCATGTTTAGGGGTTAGTGTAGGGCTAGGCTCAGGTTTAGAGGTAAGGTTAGGTTAAGGTCAGGGTGGGGGCGCTGCATAGGCACACGCGAGGGCCAATCATTGTTGTCTGTGGTTATATTTTACAATATTTTTGCTTCCTTAATGGGGCTGCCTGTGTTTCTAGGTAAGTGTTGATCACCTGTGCGTTCCCGTGACAACACATTAGACCCTCTTATGAAACAAGTGGAAGAAGGAGGGGGAAGGGTGGAAAGGGCAGATACACCATAAACATTACTGTGGGAAGCAGGAAGCGTGCGTTGGGTTAGCTAAGGTTATAGAGGACTTGCACAGGTTTCAGCACTTGTGTAACAGTAGCGGAGCTATTTAAGTCTGCAGGGAGATGAGGGAGAGACGACAGGTGCCAGCTGCTGTGGGCCGATTCACGTGCCAGGGACCAGTGCTCTGCGGCGGGGAAATATGTGTATGGTGGGTCAGATTAAGAGTCCTGGTTTAGTCCAAGTTGGAGCCTGAATTAGATTTGTTTTGGTCCTGTTCTCGTCATGTTTTAGTCCTGATCTATTTGAGGATTCTTTCAGGATTTAGTTCCAGTCCCAATTTTGATGTAGTCTGAACACACCCTAAGACTTTTATGTAAAGATTGTTAGATGAATTTCAAGAAGGAATATCTCAGTAGAGTTAACTTGACTTGAATTATATACGTAAATTATATGTTATATATTTTAATGATATAGCATGTTACTTTCTGGAGGTGGCATGTCGCCTGCTTGTTTCTGTGGAAATAGAAAGTTAAAACCATACATTGGAACATTCTCCATGGAGTTAGATCAGTTTTAGGCCATATAACATAATATGTTATATTATAGTCAGAGGAAACAAGCAGGAGAGAAGTCAAAGTCAGATTTGTGGAGATGCAAACCTGCTCACAGTCAGGAAGTATGTTTTTCTAAGTTTTTCAGTGCAGTTTAAATAAGGGAAAAACTACACTAAATATCAAAATTATTACAGTAATTAGTTAACTTCTCCATTGAGTTATTATGATCTGCCAATGACTGTTTTTAACTAGAGATTTCTCAGTGTTTGCAGTCAGAAATAATTATAACCTTCAACTCATATAGACCCTAAAGTGATTAAGCTCCATTTGATGAAAATAACATATTGATTATTTTTCTTTGTCATTGTTATTTAGTTTAGCATTAACTTCTGACACTAGCGACATAAAAAATTGTGCTGACTACACATTAACCACATAAATTTATTCATCAAAATCACGAGGGGAGCTATAAATATAATGGATAGAAATAGACTAAAGTAGTTCTTGTATTTTGGGGGAAATTACCCATATGAATAATAGAAGTTGTCTCTCCTCTGTGTGTCCTAAAAACTGTCAGTGTCGACAGGCTCATCTCAGATTGGCTGCTCTCCAGGAGGATATTTTAGTTTAGAGAAGCTGTGAGGGAATGTGTGCCTTGAAAGCATATACTGACCGATTATCTGTATTGACTTAACTTTTGTGGTGGAGGGTCTGCCCCAGTTTGTCACCACGGAGATGTTATTGCTTTACCATGAATGTACTACAGTATAGTATACTGCAGTTACTGAACTGTGAATAGGCAAGCCATCCCACAGTAAGAATGGATGGTTTTTCTATGTATTTTTTAGCAATGCAGACACTACTATTGATAAGTTTAATGCCATACTGAGGGACATTTCAACATCCCTTTCCTATCCATTTTGAGATAAATAAAGTTGCTGACTGATTCATATATTTTCCAGAAATTTGTGTTATTCTAGAGTTGTAATAATAGGTAGGAGATGGGTCCCTGGGCTGTCATTGCCCACTGCTCCTGGCAGATTGCAGGTTTGGATAAAGAAGGGGTCAAATGCAGAGAGTTTTTACCTGATGTGTGTCATAAATTAATGTTTTTTGTCACCCTATACACAGTCATCATAGCATTTAAGTCTCCTGTTATTTTTGTTATTCAGAGGATAAATATGCACAAGAAGAAGTATAAAGTATTAACACACTTATGCAGGACAAATTTCTTCAGTTCAGGTCCCAGAGAAATTAATACTCAACACTGTGTGGTGACAGCTCATGTCTGGCAATGCTTTCATTGTAGGGAGTATTATAACCTCATAATGGTGCAGACCAAGGATAATTAATCCTCAAAGAAATGTCAATAAGCACTGAGCTGAAGGTGTCCTTAGCAAAGCTGTGCAAGGATGCCAAAAATCAACAAATATTACAAAAGTGTCAATAATGAATGCATTTTAAACAAATTGTTTTAATTGCAGTCAGTCACCCAGTATCACTAAATCTTCTGTCTAATTGCAGATGTGTGAGCAACATAATCCTGCTCCTGACAAAGGCATTTAAGAAGAAGTTCATTATCCCTGAGTTTGAGGAGTTCACGCTGGAAATTGATAAAATGTATGATCGTGCACAGCAACAAGAGGGAGGACAAGTGAGTCTAACATTACACAGTGAAGAGATATACAGTATACTGTATACAGAAATATGGTATACAGGCCTGTTAGTACTACAGTCACATGTATATGATTCTAAAGCTGGATTTCACATGACATCACAACATTCAGAAGGCATGTGCTCACATGGCATCACAACATTAAAAAGCAGGTGCTGATGTACAGGCTGTTCAGGCTATGGGAGATTGGTTATTTCTGAGCTCAGCAGAAGTAACCTGAGAGTAAATAAGGCATGCCCTCATTGAAATGTTAAAGTGCAGGACCCATCATTGTTGAGTTTCAGATGACATCACAACATTCTGTAGGGCAATAAAACTTAATACAGATGGGGGTAAAAAGGTAAAATTATGCTGATTTTTATTGTAAATGTGAGTTCTTGGATCTAGTCACTGATAGAAATGACAAGATTCAACATATGAGATGTAATACAAATTGTATTGACAAAGGAGCAGACAAAATGACCACTGTAAATGTGCAGAGTGTGTGGTCTCCATGAAAAGCATAATCACTGACTTAGTAGCATAGTCAGGTTCAACATTATTAGAGTTGACGTTTAGATATTTCAAATACCATATGATACAAGAATACTGACTCCTGTCCCCATTTGGTTGTGTGAAATTCCTTTATTCTACACAATCTTAAATCCCTTGTATCTGTTGCAGGTGGCTGACTATATTCCACAGTTGGCCAAGTTCAGTCCTGATCTTTGGGGTGTGTCTCTGTGCACTGTCGATGGACAGAGGTAAAGTCATGTGATCATTTTAATGTCATTTATTCATTTTATTCATCCATAATGTCATCTCACTCAGAGGTGGGCAAAATATTGTCCTCAGAATAATTCAAAATACTTGAATAGTACATGTGCTGGAGATATGGCAAATTACAATTTAGAGTATTCACCAAGTTACCACAGACTGGTTCATGCACATGAATGTTGAACATTTTACACAAATCAACCTACTTTGTAACATATTTTAACAGTGAGACTTTTACCTCTTAATTGGAAATGACAATAAGAAATAAAGAATGGATCAGTAGCATTCAGAAGTAAAAGTGTGCAGGGCAGAATAAAGTGCATACCATCTGTAATAAGAAAAAACAAACAGGAAACTCATACATAAAACTCAACCAAATCATTTACAGGCAGGTTTTTGTCTCTTAATGCTTCTCTGGCAGAATATCAGATTATCTCATCTTATCTAAGTAGTAAAAAGTATCGGGATGATCCCAAAAATATGAAGACATTTTTATTCACCTCTGCCTTTTCCAAACACTTCCCCGACCCCCATCCCTCCCTCTCATAGACACTCAGTGGGTGACACTAAGGTCCCGTTCTGCCTGCAGTCCTGCGTGAAGCCCCTGGAGTATGCCATCGCTGTGCATGAGCATGGCACTGAGCATGTGCACCAGTTTGTGGGCAAAGAGCCCAGTGGACTCAAATTCAACAAACTGTCTCTAAACGATGAAGGTAATTTGAACTCATCCATGATTTCATTACATCATACTCATTCATGAAGCCAGAACTTCATCAAAGAAATGATTTATTTTCATTTTATTTAATTTTGGTGAATAGTATTCATTTATAACCTTTTATTTTGGATGTTGTCTGCAGATAAACCTCACAACCCAATGGTGAACGCTGGAGCTATTGTGACCAGTTCTTTGATAAAGGTAATATTATTTTGCATACTTACTTTATAAGAAGATGAATGGTTATCTATCTCAACTGTATAGGTACCCAATAATCAATCATTGGTCAATATGTCAAAGCAGAACGTGCATTAACATCAGTTACAGTATGTGTGCACAAATATCCCTTAACCTTTGCAATTCAAACCAACCAAAAAACATGCGCAACAGGCAAAAATGCTCCAGTGAAGGTAGTCCTGACCAAGAATGACTAGCTAAGCTAGATCTGTGGAAACATGAACACTGAATGCATGTTTTTATGCTGGTGTTTTTCCAATTAAAACATCTGCAACTGAATAAATCTAAGATAGATAAGTTTAATACCATACCATGCAACATTCCAGGTGAAGCAATATCTTCTCCATGGATAAGAGCAGCTAGCAGACCTTCCACCAGAAAAGTTACACCAATGAGTAAAGAGGCCCAAAACCTCAAAATTAAGGACAGAGTTATTTTGCCTGTCGCCTTTTACAGCTGTGTTGAAACAGTTGAGGTTGACAAATTTTCCTTGACTACTTTATCACCCAAGGCCATCTGTGTATCCAAACAATCTGAAAATGTGACTAATGGACTTTGATCAGACAGACACGAATCCTGCCTCCAATCATTCCAAAGCCATTCCCTTGAATGGACAAGTGTATTTATTTTACACAAACATTCCCAGCTGACTGAGGTACACTGAGGCCTGTTGTCAAATATGGGGCAGGTTCACCAGGGGGCGGGAGGAGGGTATATTTGGGGCCTGACCTTCTCCACTGACCAATAGGAAGCCATGGAGCAGAAGGTGTGTTTTTGGGGAGGAAGAAATTCTATTCATTTTGACTTAATGTATTGTGTAATATTATGATATTACAGTTACAAATACAATTAACTTTTCAAAAAACTGTAAGTAAATTTGTTATGTATAGTTAAAAACATCACCTTGAAAACACCATTCCTTTTCTACCAAATGATTAAATGCATTTAATTATAATTCAGTTGTTTATATATTGGTACAACATTGATACTAATGGCCAAAGTAGGGTGACCACCTGTCCCTCTTTTGGTAGTCCTTCACAACCAATTAGGCCCCTGTGTCCTGCCCCACTTACTGAGAGAATGACCCAGTTTTCATTGAAGCCACATTAATTATAAAAAAGTGAGATTTACACAAAAACATGATTAAAAAAAAAAAAAAAACTCACAAAGAAATGTAAACACAGACTATCAGAGTATTTTTATGTATGATATGATTTTAGTATGATCTTAAATTTCCCGATTTTGTCCTTCAGTGCCCAGTCACATTCAGCATCTCATCTCTCTTTTTCTACATCTTGAGGTGGTCACACTTATGATGAGGAATACCTGCATTCTCAGCTCTGTACTGAGTACTATTTTAGCAAGATCCAACTGCTAAAATGTTGAATAGCAGATTTTAGCTGATGGATCTTGTCAAAACCAGTTTAAATCCGGTTTTCTGGTATGTCATTCCTCCTCTGATTAGACTTGGCATGTTTCCTTTTTTCTTGAGAGTGAAATTTAAGATTGCTCTTAAAGAGCTCCACAACCTTCACTGCCAAAGGGGTAAAACATTCACTATGACATGGACACTCACAGCACAGTGTCCAGAGTCAGGTCAATGTCACAGTACAGAAACACTGCCCCCTGTAGGGACACACAGGGAGAGTTCTATAGAAAAAATGTAGCAGAATTAAAAATAAGATAATTAGTATTACATGTATTGTGAGAATAAAGAATATGATGTAATTATTCTTCACAATTATTGAGACCAGGACCAAAAAAAAGTAAAATCTGGAATTTTCCTTCATTACCCTCATCTAAAATCAATCAGTCAAACTTTATTTATAAAGCACTTTTAATACAAAAAATGTAACACAAAGAGCTTTACAGTCATTAAAATCAATCCAACATTTCCTTCCTTCCACCCACCCACTCTACCCCCACAGCTGCCCAACCCCATATAACTAAGCAACCTAGACCAGGGATCTCCAACCTGTAGCTTGGGAGCTACCAAGATACAGTAGCTCTCCACCTTCTTCCAAGTACCTCGACAAAGGATTTCGAATTATACTTATTGTGCTGAATGGCTCAGATTTGATAAACTACCACTGTAACTACTATTTACCCAGGATATTTCCAGTTTTGAGCCCTGTGTCTCCTGCCCCAGCAGATTTATCCAAAACCAGTTTTGTCCCAGTTTTATTCATGAAATGTCCCATGTGTTCCTGTTTTTGGCCAATCTGACCCCTGCCAACTGTAAAAAGAGGCATAAATTGTCATTTGTTTAGGTAAAATACAGAAAAGCTGCTTAAAAAATACCCAAACACAAAGAAAATGTGACTATACTGATTTATATGTTCGTCATGAATAGTCTCTACATAACAATTTTCCTTAATTACTTACTTTCACAGTTTTATTATTACCGATGACTAAAAAAAATGGGGACGTCTCAGTTTTTTTCATTTGGAAATCTGGTCACCCTAAACTTTGTACACTAATAAATGGAAAATGGTTTATGTTTTATAGGTATCTAACTGTTCCCCATCTAAGTTTTTCCTATGCTCAATTTCTTGTGACCGCTAAAATAAGTAGCTTTTTGGCATTTTCTTTTTGTAAAAGTAGCTTATCGGAAGAAAAAGGTTGGAGACTCCTGACCTAGACAGTCGCCTCACCCACATGCATGCAAACACTCACACACACACACACACACACACACACACACACACACACACACGCTAAAATACATGAATCTACATATAATAAATCATAAGGCTGAATACAAAAAAGCAACGATGTATGTGACCAGCTTTGTGAAATCAAACATTCTGAATTATAAAATAAAACTTAAATACTTTTAGCCATATTCCCTTATTATAATTATTAGTGCTCAGAAAATTTTTTCATCTTACCTTTTCATCTCCGCCCACATGTTTATTCCAAAAATGTACACTCTGGATCAAAAGATTTAACATTTCCATTTTTCAGCACTTACAACACATAAATGAAAATCTACTGCTTGTTACGGTGAACATATTTGCTTTTTTATTATAGATTATCAATTTTTAGTTCTTCCAATTATTTTGTGACCTGAATAATCATGATTATAGATTAACCAACTAATCTTCACATCTCAAATCAATAGCAAATTTGACATTATGACCTCAGTAGTATGTGAAATGTCAAAATGTTAATCAGTACATCTCTTTTTCTTTGACAGCCCATGTCCAATAAGGCCGAACGGTTTGATTATGTAAGTAAATAAAGTTTTGTATGTATGCCTGATTATCTATTCTCCTTTTTTTTTTTTTCATTAATAGTTTACGGTGAATGAGAAATGTGTTATTTTCAGGTTATGGAGTTTCTCAAAAGCATGGCGGGTGCAGAGTATGTGGGCTTCAGTAATGCAACGTAAGCTTATATCTACATCCAAATGCATTAAAACATTTTTGCTTGTTATAACCATGCTGTCGATTATAGGTTCCAATCTGAGAGGGAGACTGGAGATCGGAATTATGCCATTGGATACTACCTCAAGGAGAAGAAAGTGAGTCATTTCATTGTGTCACTGGAGTTGCACCAAGTGTACACTGTAGTGTTTTGATAAGTAATACATTTGTTGTCCTTACAGTGTTTTCCAGAAAATGCAGACATGATGGCAGCCCTTGACTTTTATTTCCAGGTGAGACATAACTTTAAATTGCTACACAGATACAACAGTATATTTTAGAATGCTGGCTTAACTGTATTAAGTGCTTGCAAGCATTTTGAAAGTTGATAAAGAATTCTGAATACATTACTTTTATTTCAGCTATGCTCCATTGAAGTATCCTGTGAATCTGGAAGTGTCATGGCCGCCACTCTGGCCAATGGAGGAATCTGTCCAATCACAGGCGAGCGCGTCCTGAGTGCCGAGGCCGTCCGAAACACACTGAGCCTGATGCATTCCTGTGGCATGTACGACTTCTCCGGGCAGTTTGCTTTCCATGTAAGAATCCACCTGATGTGAATTGTGTAAATATCAACTTGACATTAATTATTCGCTGAACAAATTCTACAAGACTGTCATTTTGGACACCATCATGTTTGCTCCGATCTGCTACTATAGCCAACAGGCACAGCTTGTCATTAAAAAAACATAACTGCTCCACATGCACTTGATAGATGAAGTTTATAGTGCCAAACAAAAGCCTTTTTATATTGTGGACTGTGAACACAAGCCACATATCTGGGATGTTATTCAAATTCTATTATCATCACTGTATTAAACTCATGCTAGGATATTTATTGGATATATTTTAGGAAAGAGAGGAAGGATTGTGGAAATACCTAGCCTGATTCATCACCTGGTTTTACTTCATTTCACTTCGTACAAACCGTCTGACCTCGCAGCCTTACATTTCATTTGCTTGATGGTAGGCGGGTACTTTTTAATCATTTAACCAATCGCTGTTATTTGGTCGTGACGTATGAAATGCGCCGCTAACGGGGCTAACGGGTATATTAAGATTTTCCCAAATCCAGTAGGAAGAAGGGCAATAACATCTTTCTCCTTGATGAAATTCACCAAATATTGTCTTTATTCTGGCTTTAAATAATTTATCTCAGGAGTCGTTGACAACACTGAATATATGACTCCCCGCTGATTGGCTGGTGCCTGAACTTGCACTTCGGGGCAAACCGTCTAGTGTAATTCCTGACCTAGTTGCTGGAGAGAAATTAAATTGAGTGGAGGCACTAGGTGGTACCAGCCAGGATAGGAAATATGGTACTCATTAGTACAAAATGTCAGTTTAAATCTGCAATGTAAATTATTTTAACAGTTTGGCTCTAGTCATTAGAAAAAACTAAATGGACCGAAGAATCTTGGTTTGTCGTCTCCTGTGCTCTTTTTTCTCTTAGTATATCACAACAGTATTTCAAAATCAGAAACTAACTATAACATATATTGTAGTATATAAGTATTGCAAATTCCAGATATTGCAGCTGTTACATCCATACTAAACTACTTTAAGCGTATATTACTGACCAAGAGTTTGTTTTCATACCTGACAGTTTCGACTGCTCACTAGCGCTCTTCCTCAGAGTAGTCACGTGATGTTGCTGTGACGTGTCCGGTCAGCTGATTTATACAGGTTTTGGCGCTGTCTTACTAGAGGTAGAGGCAGGATGAAAAAAGAACCTAATAACAAGAACTATCAGAAGACCAAATGAACCTCATTTGACTACTATTTACTTATATAGCTTCTAATCAGAATTTACTAAATATTTTGTCTCTTATTTTGAAGGTGGGGTTGCCAGCTAAGTCCGGGGTCTCTGGAGCAGTTCTGCTGGTGGTCCCTAATGTCATGGGTGTGATGTGCTGGTCGCCCCCTTTGGACCGACTCGGGAACAGCGTCCGTAGCATTCACTTCTGTCAAGTAAGCTGTTAACAGTACCACCCCTTATTATGCTACACCATTTCTGCCATTATTCACGCTCTTTGGACAACTTAGAATTTCACAAGTTAATTTTTAGAATTTAAATGAATGTGTATGAATCAAAAAATCACTATGTAACTTTTCTGATGGACGTTGCACACCACCTGCTTGTCTCCATGGAGAAAATATTGCTTTGCCTGGAATGCTTCACAGTATGGCATTAAACTTATCTATCGTCATGGAGAGAAACCAAATTACAAGTGAGAATGCGTGTTTTTCAGAGTATTTTTAAGCATTAAAAAGACCTGAAATTGAATAAATAAAACATATATAACTCTTTCTGTCACACCGTGAGGCATTTGAGGCAAAGCTCCAGAAAGGTTACATATTGCACCTTTTAATTTTAACTGAAGTAACTCTTCCTGTATTATGCTATAACCTATATAACCTTATATGTCTCTTCTCAGGAGCTTGTCTCTTACTTCAATTTCCATAATTATGACAACCTGAGACACTTCACCAAAAAACACGATCCACGTAGAAAATACGACGAGGACCCCGTAAGTCACCAGCCATTTTGAAGATTTTTTTTTTTTACTTTACAGTGATCCTGAATCAGCCTTTTCTTTTACTAGAACAAGTATGTGGTCAGTCTCATGTTTGCAGCCTACAGTGGGGATGTGAACACTATGAGAAGGTAATTTAAAAATGTCCACTGTAAACTTATTCTTGACAAATCATCTTCTTGAATGAAAGGTTAAATAGGGAAATCCAAACTCCTAAGGGTCTGTGTAATCCCTCAGTCATCCAGGTAGCGTCCAAACGTTTTTAGAGTAAATACATTTTGCCATTCATTAAAGTAACTTCAGTTCTGACAGTCCTGACTTCGGATCTTGTAATATTAACTGATAAAATAAATAAATAAAATAAAAACCTTTATTTTGGATTTTTATATAATTTTAAAAATATATATTTTCTAGGTTTGCCCTCTCAGGAGTGAACATGGAACTGACCGACTACGACTCTCGCACAGCTCTTCATATTGCAGCAGCCGAAGGTAACTTTTATCTTGCATTCACACATCTGTAATAGCTGGTGTGTGTAATATCCGCATGTCAGATCTCTCATTACATTACATCACACTGCATTTTCTCTTCATCTTCAGGCAAAGTTGAAGCTGTAATCTTCCTCACAGAAATCTGCAAAGTAAATCCATTCAGCAAAGACAGGTGAGGTTTGGCTGCTGGTTGGTGGTTCAATCCCTGCTACTGAAAATATATAGTATGTATCTGCTCTTGGGCAAGACTTTCCCCAGTACTCAGTTACAACAACCTGAGTACCTTTTTAAATAAACACCATACTTACTACTTACTACTACTTTTGTAACAGTATTACTTAGTTAGTCTTCCCACTATGAGTAAGCCTATAAAAAACTTTATGTTGACAATATGAAATGATTTGATGCGTCTTGCACTTCTTGTCAGATATGATTTAGTTTTTCTAATTTTATGGTATATAACTATTGAAAATGACAGGTTTTATGCATTATTTAATGCTTTGTCCTTCCAATTGAAATAGGAAATCAGATGGTACATGCTGACAGTTTCTCTTACAATTTCTCTCACTCACGTAGTCGTTAGTAGTGTAGTTTTTTTTACACTCCTTTGAGTACAGTTTGGCTACTCTGTTCAGTACCCTCATCTGGACATTTCCTCAGACTCAAATGTATGTACACAGAGATTAATAAATCATCTTTTCCAGGTGGGGGAACACACCCATTGACGATGCCATGCAGTTTGGACATAATGTTATTGTGTCACTCCTACAAGATTATCAACAGCTTTACGACAGCACTTACAGAATCACAGACGCAGAGGCCAAGACCATAATGGACACTATTAAGAGTGTTGTTTAACTAGGTAAATCATAATAACAGTCAAATGGATTTATTTATATTATTGTTATATAAAATTATTTTATGAGTTAAAGACAAAACATATATTTTATAGATTTGTGTAATTGTGTTATTTCTATTTTTGTTCTGCTGTAAATAGCTACACACTTTATTTTCTTTTATTTAGATAATTTGTGCAATAAATGTAAATATGTGTATAGTTAAAATCTAAAACTATGAATCACAACTAATTATTATAGTGTGCTTTTGATTCAAATGTCAAATATCCATGTGGTCATTGTTATATTTAGAATGGCATATATTTGACACCACTTAATGACTCATGCAGCACTACTGAAGACTTACTGTAAATATGTCAGTTAAATAAAAGGCAAAACTATTCCACTTCTGTTACATTATTTTATTCTTCGTCATAACGCATGTGTGAGGTTCATGTCTTCATAATACAAACAATGGCACAACATGAAAGCACTCATAATGCTCAAACTTGGCAACTCATATCTGCAGAACACCCTACACTTCAGTCAATAAAAAGTAATACATGAAAAACACATAAGCACCCGTGCAGTATGAAAGTGGTATTAATATTACTGATGGTGTTCAAAATGACCTGTGACCCTTAGTCATCTTTTACCTCATTATGATAAAGCCACAATAACATAGAGGTGGGAGATATTGAAAAGAAAATAATTTATTTAAATTCCTATGGCAATATTCAGATGATATTATAGCAAAGCTTCAATGCCTCAGATGCAGGAATCTCACCTTATATCTTTGTTTTAGAAGAGTGTGCAACATTGTTGCGCAACTTTCCTAAGAGAGGGCCCACCACCTGCTTGTCATCATGGGAAAATATAGCTTTGGCAGAAATGTTCCACAGTTTAGTATCAAATGTATCTATTTCCACAGAGACAAGCAGGGGACTCCACCAGGTCTAGTTACATGTCAGATCTGTTGAGAGGCTCAAGGTGAGAATGCATGGCTTTCAAGGTATTTTTGAGCAATAACTCATGATGAAAAAAACATTTCAATCAAAGAATAACATTTTCATGGTGTGTAAGAGTTTTTTTTATTATTATTATTGATATTACTTGATTACTTGTAATTTGGCATCTCTCAAAAACAACAATCTTGATATTGCCTATTTTTCAACATACTTCCCACCTCTAGAGTTTTGAACAGTTAAGCTCCACTGCTCAAGCGTCTTCACTTGAGGCCTGCTGGCTCCTCCAGGCCACTGTGTGTCACAATCTCCCCATCCCAAAGTCCAAAAGCGGGGCAAATATCACCCTGAAATTTGGCTCTGATGCTATGAATGATGCTGCCTTTTTCTACGTCTACCAGCGCTAGCACTCCACCTTCATAATCGAGCAGAACTCCCACGCGGTCCGGCTTTCCTACCAGTGTCACAGGAACCGTTTTATTGTTCAACATGGCAAACCACTTCCTCTGGGCATATCCGTAAACCCAAGAAGAACTGTTGGTGCCCACACACTCATCTCGAGACATCAAAGCTTCTGCAACTCCAATACGAAATTCATGGGACTTCTTGACGGTGACCTCCCAGTAATGTCTCCCGCTGCGGATCTTCTCGTCTCCGAAAACCACAGCCCAGTCTCGGAAGCGCTCGGGGTTGTTCTGCACCTGAGACGGGTCCAGTCCCAGGACTCGGTAGATCACTCCCGTGTCCCTCTTGAAGAGATCCAGACTGCTGTGAGCAGTCTTCTCATCTAGTTTGAACTTTGCATCTGAAATTTTAAAAAATACAGCAATCACATTAGTATGACATAGAAGGGGGCGATAACGACAAAATTAATATCTTAATAACAATATTCAGAGAATATTTTAATAATACATTAGTAATTGATTGATATGGACCATAAGTAACCATAAAAGCAGAGCAGAAATATTACTTTAAACTCTTGTTTGTAAGGTTACACTAGACATTTTGGTCAATTTTGGTTTTGATGTTCATGTTTTATAGACACATGGTCTGGACAATTAAATTCTGAAATCAAAGTCTTGTTTGGTATCTAAGAGTTCATACTTCCACATTACCTTTGATTTTTTTGTATGTGTGTAATTACTACAATTACCTTTATTTATACTGAGTTCGCTTTTGAGTGTCGGCTGCACTGACCCACATAAACAAATGGAGTTATGTAATTAAGGAGTCTGAAAACTTTTATTATTTATTAACCCATAACAAATTTTTAACTAGACAATAGAGTAATTGCAAGTGCATGCTTATAAATGAGATTATAACTGAGGAAAGATGAACATGCTGCATTGTTACGAGCTTCCAGACTTGCTGACAACTTCTAATGAAACCTCTTTTGTTGTCAGCCACACTTGAACATTTTGACCTCGTGCGCCTCCATGAAGCGTGGTTATTTAGTTTAAGTGTTGCCATACCGTTCCTGGTGGTAGTGACCACATACGCCCTCCTCTGCAGCGGGCTCATGAAGCGCTTGTGTCGGGAAGAGAGGAGGGGGAGCGCCCGCCCTGAGCCCCGACAGAAGCGGACTGCTGCTGCTGCCACTGCGGGCGACGCCATGTTTGTGTCTCTGATCACATGTTCACTCTCTTGGCCTTATAAGAAAGAGAGAGGAGCGCTCTGCTGCCCCTGTCTTAACGGAGAGGAACTGCAGGTACATGACGCTTCAGCACCATGGACAGCGACCTGAAAGCCTTGAATGAACACTGAGTTTAGTATTTAGGACTTTGAAATTCCAATTGCTTTAACATTTGGCTATTTCTCTGGGGCTCTATTCATGTATTCTGTCTATTTTACCGCCATTCTGGTCAATCTTATAAACTTGATGAATTAATAAAAGTTTTTTTTTTTTGTGTTACATTTTACAGTGCTGTTAGAATACTTGAGAAAAACATACAACATGTTATTTTCAGTGCAAACGAGAGACAAAGGGTTTACAATATGCATGCATTAAAATAAAAATAAGAGCTTTTTGAAGTTTTGAATCAGATTCGGTGTTTTGATGTGTGTTTTAATCTACACGTTGTAGTTTCAATTGTAGGCTAATATCTAAAACATGTTTTGTTGAACATATCTCTAATGTCATTATTATTATTAGTTTGTCTTTCACCCCTATATCAATCTCCTGTTTCTTGCTTGGAGATGCTTTAATGTGGATGTTTTTAAGATGGCTGCACCAGACTTGCCCCTCGGGGATCAAATAAAGAAATCTAAGTCTATTTAATCTTACCATATGATGATAGAGAACCAGTCTGTTGATGCTTTTGTTTTTGTTCTCAATATAAATGCCTTCTCATATGTTTGACAGTTCAGTGTGTGTATATATATTTTATAATGGGTGAATGTCAGTACAATGTTGATGTTGCGTTTGGGTACAGCATGTATTTTTAAGCACACAGCCATAATAAATATCTCGCAGATTAACTTTGGCTGGACTGCTGTGACTGCTGTTTGATGCATTTTTCACCCCTCTGTCCAGCTGGGGACCAAATGCCATTGTTTATTTATGGCCCTGTCTACACAAGGCACACATCATTATTTGTAGTTTTTTTTTTTTTTTTTTTTTTTTTTTTTGGCTGTGATGATGGATGGACGTTTGGAGTGTAGTTATTAAAAATCTCCTCTGGCTGACTGATGTTGCCATATTGTAATTAAAACACTGTATGAATCAACTAAAATAGATTTGTCTACATGGCATAGAGTACAGTATGGTGCTTTTCCTTCATAGAGCTAAGTGGTCATGAGATTAATGTTGCTCTCAGTAAAGTCTTAGATTACATAATTAAATTGTCTTTGTACAAATATAAGGTTAAGTGCACTTACATTTAGTCTGAATATTAACTCCAAATGAGATGCCATAGTGATATACAGCGACAGCATAGGGTTATACTGAGGCTAATACAGATTTATGGTCAACTTGTATGAGGTTTAAATGTTATTACTTGCTTTTTATGACTGTGATCAGCAATTTGTCTTAAAGGTGAACCATGTAATTTTTCTGGGGCCTGTCACATGTTTGTCTCCATGGAGATGTTATTACTTTGCCTGAGATATTTCAAAGTATAGCATAAAAGTCTAGCCAGGCTGGTGCCACCTAGTGCTTCTGCTCAATTTCATTTCTTTCCAGCGACTAGGTCAGGAATTGGAATACACTAGATGGTTCGCAAAAACCCCGGAAGTGTGAATCAGTCAGTCAGCGAAGAGCCATACATGTGTTGGCAATGATTCCTGAGATCGAGGATTTAAAGCCTGGAATAAAGAGAATGTTTGGTGAATTTTATCAAGCCCTTCTTCCTACAGGATTTGGGAAAAGTTTAATATACCAGTTAGCCCCGTTAACGGTGCATTACATACGTCACAACCAAATAGCAGTGATTGGTTAAATGATAAAAAGTACCCGCCTGCCGTTGATTGAACAAATTCTAACACTGCAAAGTTAGACGGTTTTCTGAGTGAAACCGGCGGCTGATGAATCAGGCTAATAAAAGTCATCTATGCAGACAACAGTTGGCCAGGTCAAATGCAGGTCAGATCTGTGGAGACGCAACCCCTGCTCACACACAAAAATAAATAAATAAATAAATAAATAAATGTATGTTTTATGTTGTTTGTATTGTTGTTGTTGTTGCTGCTGTTGGTTTTGTTTATAATACACCTACTACACTTGTTATTTAAAAAATAGATGGAAGATAGATATATGTTTAATGCTACACTAAAAAAATAAATAAATAAAAATTGCAGGCAAAAGAATAATACATGAAGATGTTTTTGCAAGTGCTGGGAAAATGTTATATAGTGCACCATTATACATTTTTTTTTCTTCTAATACCAGACTTGAGTAAACTAAATATAGTTTAAACATTTTAGAGATACTGAAAATTGCACTAGCTGAACACCCAAGCAACAACAGCAGCAGTTCTTCCTTCTCTGTTGAAGAAACAGGTTAAAATATCCCCAACCTGAGACTACTGGCTTTACACATCACGTATTTCTGCTGAGACGTGTAAGTAGCCCCAGGTGAGCGTCAGAGCGCAGACACACACACGCACGAGAGACAGGGAGAAAGAGAGAGAGAGAGAGAGAGAGAGAGAGAGAGAGAGAGAGAGAGAGAGAGAGAGAGAGAGAGAGAGAGAGCTCACGACAGTCAGAACAACACACAACCTGCTGGAGATTCTTTAAGTCACCCGGATGCACGATTTGTTATCCTCACACTTGGAGGAGAGACGCGTGCACTGCCGCGTACTCTCTCTCTAGACAAGTATCATTACGCACGCGGAGAGGATTTGTGTATTTACGTGGGCAAAGCGTACGGACTCTGATCTTAAACGGGGTGACTCGTCTTCGCTAAAATGCTCCCTCCTCGCGTCTGAGTTCACCGGGGCTGCGCTTGTGATGAGTCGGCTGCGCGCGTGAGGGATGGCTGCCAGAAGTTGCCTGTGGTTATCTGCACGTTCGCACCTGGTCGCGTGGATAACGGGAGAGCGCGCCACAGGTGAACGATGCACTTTACGCGTCCGCTAACGCCAACTGCTGTCGCGTACTGACTGACCGGAGTGGCAATCGAGTCCCCGAACCAAGCCAACAACAAAAACAAAAAAAAAAAAAATGGATCTGAAAGTAGAACCAGAGGAGATGGACTCGAACCAGCCTCAGTCGTTGGAAGTTTTCGCGCAGAGCTCCACTTTACACGGGATCTCTCACATCTTCACGTACGAGCGCTTCTGTGTCAAACGCTGCTTGTGGATGCTGTTTTTCCTCGGATCTTTCACGTTCCTGCTGTACGTGTGCGTGGATAGGATTCACTTCTACCTGGAGTACCCGCACGTGACCAAACTGGACGAAATCACGACCCCGACCATGACGTTTCCAGCCGTGACTTTCTGTAACCTGAACGCGTTCCGGTTCAGCAGAGTGACCCGCAACGATCTGTACCACGCGGGCGAACTGCTGGCTCTACTCAACCAGAGGTACGGCCTATTAACCCATTACCCCACAGTGCACAGTTGAATAGGCCGAGAAGATCTGATGTTAAATGGGGTCATTCTCTTAAGCACGTGTGCAGTCTCACGTTGTTTTGTAGGTGTAGCAGTAAACGTTCCATTAGACTCCATGGTTTGTTACTTTTTGAAGCAGTTTTGTTGCATCTGAATTTGTGAAGTTTGGGGATTTCAGCAGCTTTAAAACCAAGAGTGTTTTCTACCACTGCCTCTCTCAGAAGATGATAGCAGCACTTTAGACTTTATGTAGGGCATATGGAGGAAGATGTGTCGCAAAAAAAACTGGCACTTCTTTCAGTAAATTCAGCATTTTCATAACTATCCATGTGTTTCAGAATGATGCAAAGTTAGGACTGTTAAATAGCAAAATAGTATTTCTTCTGTGTGGTAAACCATCCTTAAAATGGCCAGGACGTTATAGGAAATCACATGAGGTAAATTTGCATTCTAAACATTTATATCGCAGTGTTGTCCTTACATTATGTGATGCAGTTGGTTTAAGTGGAACAGGAATTGGTTCACCTCTTGGTCCAAGAGATGAATGGTTTTGTATTTGTCAGTGGGGTCAGTTTCAGATTTTAGTAACACGTCATTTTGGGGTAGACTTATTAGACTTAAGGCAAGGCAAGTTTATTTGTATAGCACAATTCATACACAGAGTAATTTCAAAGTGCTTTACAGAATAAGAAATACAATAAAATCACAATAAAAACAAATCAAAACATAAATAATCATCATAAAATTAAAAGGAGAGAGACATTAATTATATAAATTAGAGAGAAAAGAGCAGAATGAAAACCTTTCTCTTGTGCAGCTAAACAGAACCGTTTTGAGCCTGAATTTAAACAGCGTCAAAGTAGAGGCCTGTCTCACATTTTCAGGAAGACTGTTCCAGACTTTAGCTGCATGAATCTGAAACGCTGACTCCCCGTGTTTAGTCCTGACTCTGGGCACCAGCAGGAGGCCAGTCCCAGAGCTCCTTAGAGTGTGAGATGGTTCATATGGCACTAACATGTCACAGATGTACTTTGGTGCTATGCCTAGCTTATGGGGAATTAGACATTAATAAGGGCTGAATAAATACTATTTGTTATTAGGTTATTTTTTCAGATCAAGAGTTTGTTTTCATACCTGACAGTTTCGACTGCTCACTAGCGGTCTTCCTCAGAGTGGTCGTGTGATGTTGCTGTGAAGTGTCCGGTCAGCTGATTTTTAGAGGTTTTGGTGCTGTCTTCCTATTGGTGGAGGCAGGATGACAGCGCCATCTGCAGTCTGACTTCCTCAGGACACTATTCCAGGTGTGTGAGAGCAAAAAAGCCCCCTTGTCCCGGTTTATAGTCCCGTGGGCACATTTCCGTATTTCAATTGCCTCTTTAATCCAGCTTTTTAACTCTCACACACCTGGGATACTGTCCTGAGGAAGTCAAACTGCAGATGGAGCTGTCGTCCTGTCTCCACTGGTAGGAAGACAGCGCCAAAACCTGTATAAATCCGCTGAGCGGACACATCACAGCATCATAACATAACCACTCTGAGGAAGACCAGTGAGCAGTCGAATCTGTCAGGTTTGAAAACAAACTCTTGGTCTGTAAAAAGAACCTAATAACATAAAATATCGGAAGACCAAATTAATCTCATTGGACTGAATAAATAACCATCTACAATTATGTTAATTAGCAGGTAGTTAGATGTTAATAAGTGTACCCTAAAATAAAATGTTACCCAGACTTTATAACTGTGCTGTTTTGATTAATCTATTCAATTACAAAAATGTGATGAAAAAATAGGAGTAGTTACTCTCTGTTTGGAATCGTCTATGCAGTGTCCTTCCCTGGGGGGCATAATGGTTTCTAATGTTATTGTTTCTCATATACTTTCTTCAGCAATATGACACATTTCAAAATGTGTTATTGTGACAGGCCTCATTCTCAGTGCCTTATATCTGTGCAAAGAGAGGAGCTAACTACACTGACCTAACACCTCGAGTTGTTTACAGTATTTGTTATTGACTTCTTAATTAATAACAGAAGTAGTTATCTCAGATAAATGGCATAATGTATTCACTTTTGTCCAGTTGACAGAATACAATATTTCATTTTGCTAGAAGTAATCATTTAAAATAGTCATGATTTAAATTATGAGCCAAATAATTCTGGTAATATTTATTTCCATAATCATTTCCTGGCCTGTCAGACTCCCAGCGCAGACGGGGGTTGCTCTTCTCTTGCTCTAAAGCAGGTTTTGGGTTCATTAACCAGCCTCCGTTGGCAGGACAGAGACAGTGCAGCTCCAGCCCAGCCCCTCCTTCACCTCGGGCCAAAAGAGAAATCGCTGTTGGCATGAAAACCATTTAAGAGAGAGCCGCTCCTCCTCATGTTGGGGACCGCTGGGCTGAGAAATGTCTTTTGGCGTTGGTGGTTAGCAGCTCGGTGCAGCCTGCTCTGAGCCTGCAGCGCTATCAGGACCTGATCACATAAGTGGCTCTCTGGCAGGTTTGTTCACTGAAGGCAAAACAGGGACACAGCTTCTCCCTTCTGTCCTATTTATTCAAACTATTGTAATGAGGATGATTTTCAGGAAGGTTCCAGTTCATTTTGGTGCCATAATAACTGAACCTTAACTAGACTTAATAACATGCTAACAAATACTGCGGACTCTTTCTTTGCCTTGAAAATGACGTTTTCAGACATAGGATATCGCTTTCGTGTCCTGAAAAACATTTGACTAGCTCTTGGAAATAAAGTATGTTTTCATAATAAGCAGAAGTGACCTGTCCAGGAGTAATTTGGCGACCAATGCGTCAGTCTTTAGACCTTGCGTCTGCTTCAGTCGCGCCATCGCTGGAATGAATCTTCAAGAATCGCCTTAGTTTGGCTTCGCTGCTTTTCCCCATGTCTTCTTCTTTCAGCGACCTCAAAAACGGACTTTCTTTTGTGGCTAACTGCTCCTGGATTCTTGTCTGCCATTGCAACAAACTTTGTGCTAACTGCGAGGAAGATATAGGTCAAAAAAGCCGCTAAGAACTGTTGCGTTGGTGGAGTAAACAGCGTCTGTGTGTCTTGCGTCTGAGGACTGCGTGACAGGCGTACGTAAACCACGTACCGGCGGCGCGCAGGCAAGTCAGTTACGCTAGAAATGTAGGGAGTTTGATTGACAGCCTGTCAGCTAACAGATAACGAGGCAGTGTCGTTATCTATTGGCAAATGTTTAGCCCCACCACGTCCAGAGTTGATGAATTTTTATTCTCTTTTTCTCATCATAATTACAAGGCTACTGCACCTCTATAATGCTATCATTGACAACTTGAAACAAAAAAAATCCTCCATACAACCTTTAAGGTGTATGTGTTTTATAAAAGTGTAGATATTATCTTTCTTCCATTTTGTCTTACATCTGTGATAAGAAAGCACATTTATATATTTTTTCATTTTTACCTAATGGTGGAATGTTACACAGGCATTGCATTACATTAATCCATCTCCATGGAGACCAGCAGATGGCACCCTCTATCAGAAAATTTACTATTGCACTATTAAGATAACAAGTAATTTAGGGGCTTTTGTGTTATGACAAGGTTAAGGTTAAGGAATACTTTACTTTCTTTGCATCTCCAGATATTGAGCAAGGTTTGATCATGACTAGTCGGGCTGGCGCCACCTAGTGCCTTCGCTCAATTTCATTTCTGTCCAGCGACTAGGTCAGGAATCAGAATACACAATACAACGCGAGTTTAGGGCACTAGCCAATCAGCGAAGAGCCATACATTCTGTGTTGGCAATGATTCCCGAGATCGAGGATTTAAAGCCGGAACAAAGAGAATGTTAGGTGAATTTTATCAAGAGGAGAGACATTATTGTCCTTCTTCCTATGGGATTTGGGAAAAGCTTAATATACCAGTTAGCCCCGTTAGCGGCGCATTACATACATCACGACCAAATCGCAGCGATTGGTTAAATTTTTTAAAAGTACCTGTAAGATATGGGGGGTGGATCTTTGTTGGGTGGGAACACTACAGACAGACTCCGGTTAAAGAATCATCATCAGCTTTATTCGATGTGTGTATGTGTATGTGTGAGGTCTGAAAGAAACAGAAAAACAAGAAAAGTGTCATGAGTGATTATTCTAACATATTCTAATAATAAGTAACAGATTGATAATATTAAACTAGGAGAAATACAATGACAGCAAACTAATTACTATACATAGTGAACATAGTTGAGGCAGTAATTACGCGAAAGTCCATGTGGAAAAGAAACACGAAACACACGAAACATTTAAGCTACATATATAGCTCAAAGGCACACCCAAACAGTAATACTACAGGTTAAATATAATTACAAACCCACCTGAACATCAAATATCGCACACGGAACAAATAAAAATGTCCATTCTCTCCCCCCTCTGCACTGGAGTGGAGCAGAGCCGAAATAACCAGGAGCACAGCGCTGACTGGCTGTGCATGATGGGGCGCTCGCAGGGGGTCCGCAAAACTCACTGTGCTCATGATGGGGCGCTCAGCAAAAGTCACTATCGGATGCATAGGCTTTCGGACAGTACCCGCCTACTGTCAAGTGAGCGAATCCTAATGACGCGAGGTCAAATGGTTTCCACAAAGTGCAACCTTAGCTGGAGAATTTTACCTGCTGTGCAAGTTCTGGGTTGATCGGGGAAACCTGTATGAACCTAAACATAGACTAATCTTGAAATCTTAAAGCAAGATACAATTGTCAGTGTCTTATTTTCTGGTTGCTTAGAATCACGATTATACACTTCTTCAATACTTTATGAAGATGTGAGTTTGGTCACTGGTGAATCTCCACAAATTCAGATGGGTGAGGATTAGCCGCTCAGGGACACGCTGCTTTGTTTTGATCCGTCCGTATCAAAACAAATATGACCGCCTATATGAAAACCGTCACCTATTTTCGTTCTACGTGTCACTGAGAAAAACTAATCGGATAAAACTGAAATCATATATCTTCCAGCTCAAGACACAGCAGGGGAAGTGGGGACCAGACTAAAAAATACAGAGAGATTTCATTCTGGATTTAGTAGGCATATTTTCTTTCTGGCACTACACTACACTACAGTCTCCCTCTGCTCCTGACAGGTCTCCCCACTGAAGCACAGGACAAATGGAGAGAAATAACTTTGCTTATGTAACACTATTCTTTTATTTGAGTGCAAACTGTTGACCCTCTTTCCACCTCTCTAGGTGAGTCAGGCCAAATAATGTATTATAAATGTCTCAACAAATTCTTATTAGCAAAGAACCGGATGAAGTTCTGTATTGATTTAGAGCAGGTCAGTAGAAGTAATATGTTGTAAAAGTCTGACAGATAGAGCTGTCATTAGGAAAAGACCTGGGCCAACTTGTGTAAAGGGGTTCATATATCACCCAGCAGAAGCATCGATCCAGTCAGACTTTGGATGTTTGGCTCCTACTTGACGAGAAAAGTCTGAGTTCTTCATTTTGACCCTGGATTTTGGCATCATTAAACTTAAATGTTGAGTGTGTCATTTTTCTGGTGAATGGTCTGAATTTCCACAATATTTCATTAAGCCTGTCTGTTTCCATGGAGACAAGAAGGTGACTGCCAGGGCCAAGTAACAGGTCAGGTCTGTGGAGAAAGAATGCATTTGCACTTCCAAGGTGTTTCTTAGCTATAAAACACTTACAGTGAAATAAGAGCAAAATTGAAATGTTTAATGTCAAAGTGTGGAACATTCCAAGCAAAGCAATAACATCTCCATGAACAATATCAGAAAAATAATAAATAACTGGTATTTGATATTCGTCAAACAAAAGTAATATATACTAAATTCAGTATACAAGCTTAAATTTTATTCACAATAAACCTGTTTCTTAAAGGTATTACAATATTTTTAGGACTATAAGCCGCACCTTTTTTCATGGTTTGGGTAGTCCTGCGACTTATACTCCGGTGCGACTTATATATGAAAATGTTTCACACTGACAGCCGTGACAGGCTCTAGGCTTGTGTGTCAGTATCTGCTGCTCCTATTTCTCCTGTACCGCCGTCACTTCATCCTTTACTGCACACGTTTCCTGCAGAAAAAGCCGCTGTCCTGCTGCAAGTAGTTAAATATTCAGCCGAAAACAGTAATCGAGCAGCAGAAAGAAAGTTTTGAGTGAGTGAGAAACTTGTGAAGGACTGGTGGGGATGGAGAACTCAGCTTCACGGCAACCGGGAGGATGCACCATGCAACTTTCCAGGAGGTCACTGGATGGATCGACAAAGCTTGGACTTCGGTGACAACAGAAACCGTCCTGTCAGGATTCAGAAAGGCCGGAATAATTCTAACAGGAACTGATGCTGAGTCTGATGACAGATAAGCACAAGAGGAAGCGGCGCTCTGTTTACCTCGCATGACATAAAGGATGAAGAATTTAACAGATTTAGTGATTTGGAGTGAGACCGAGAGATTGGTAAACTTGTTATGTTATGTCATTTATGCTATAGTTATGTGAATAATTCTTAATATGTTATGTTTACATACAGACTCCTATTCAGCCTGTTGTTCTCTGTTCTGTTTTTATTATTATAACTTGCCTTTCAAGATGAAATATTGTTTCCTGGTCTCTGATTTTATAAAATACATTCTCTCCCAAAAAGTGTGACTTATAGTCCAGTGAGACTTATATATGTTTTTTTTCTTCTTCATTATGCCTTTTTTGGCTGGTGTGACTGATACTCCGGAGCGACTTATAGTCTGAAAAATATGGTACACAAAATTGAGTCTTGTGAGTCTTGTGAGAGTTGTGTTTTGTTTCATTTACACGTGTTTGAGCAACTCTTTATTATTAGTCTGTCTGTATCTCCAAAATTCCAAATGCTCTGTGCCACCTTCTGTCATGTAGTGGTAGTTTTCATTTCAGTTCAGTAGAGATTGACAATTTCAGGGCTGAAATCAAGCAAAGGATTCTAGTGAAGGTGCACGGATTTTAAAAACACAGCTAAGCAGGTTCTGTATTATCACCATGACATTACAAGTTAAGACAAAGTGTTTTCCATTAGAGAAGAACTCAGCCTAAATTTGCAGGGTCTGTGTGTTAAATGTGTGTGTGAATAAAACAAAACACAATTCCAGGTATGTTTGTGATGAGGAAACAACATTATAAATCATAAAACAGCATAATATGAGCCCTTTAAGAGAGGAAATGTGCTGTTTCTTTGTCAATTATTTTATTTTCATGCTTAAAAAAAATCATTGTTTTCATGCTTGTCGCTGAGGAGATCGCTAAAAGATTGTATTAAAACAGAAATGGGCACATTCATGTAAGACATTTCTAAAGAGGTTTTTCATTTTTACCCAAGCAGGATGCTCTCTGGTGAGTCCTTTTAAAGGGGAACATTTAATAAGAGCACAGTTGGAGATCACAGTCAGGTCTGAACCTCTGCATTTACTCCCACTCTGCTCGGCTCTAATGCAAGCCTCAGATTCTTGGGCTGTGTTAAATAAAAGGAAAAAATGCTATTGCTGGTAATTCCGGTCCAGCGTGTGAACTTATGTAGAGGTGGAAGTGCAAAAAGAGAGAAAGAGGATTTGAATTCAGAAATGTATCATGATAGAATATGCGCAGTAGTATTTTTAGATATCAATACAGGATTGGATAAAAGTGTGTGAGTGTTTTAACAGTACATAAATAGTTGCATTCACTGATATAAAGAGTCTGCCAAAATCAAATCTCCCTGAGCTTGGACAGGTGCAGTGAAGTCCCTCTGTCATCCAGAAAAGTTACACAGTATTTAGCAACACAAGGATTCTAAAATGTCTTCTGGACTTATCCAAGCAGAATGGACAATCTCGGATCAAACTCAAAATGTTTTCCCAAAAAACCATATACCCAAGCACTTTTTGTGAGCTTCTGTCACTACTGCACACTCCCACTGAACACCTGCAAGATTGTTTATGACTGTGCAACTGTTGTTATGTTACGTTATGTTTTTTGTCAAGTACTGAGATAACAATTACATTTGCAGTTAAGATTTTGAAAGAAATATTATGTTTTTGCTGATATTTTAAACTACAGGTGTGCGAAAATATTGATATATCATGACACAAAATTTGGCAATACAGTATCGTTGTCATGTGTATCATTATTTTTTGTGACCATATTACAATTTTGTTATTTATTTAGTGGAAGGAAACTTACTTTTGCAATGCACTTTCCATTTTTTGCACAAGTAGTGGTATAACAAAGAAATACTGTTGCTAAAAGGTATTTGGTTCTTTAAAAACAGCAACATATCACAGAGTATCATGTGTAATATATCGCAAGTATCACCATGTTGTGATAATATCGTATCATGTATCGTCATGAGGGACACTTTGATTCTCAGCCCTATTTTAAAGAACTCCAATTTTTGAGAGAAGCCTGAGATATAGAGGTTTAAACCACAGCTGCTACAGATTTTCCTATAAAAAGAGAGTTTATGATTTGAAAAATTGCATCAGCAAATAAAGATTCTGATCCAGTTATGATCTATTGTGCAGCCCTAACACAAGGTCACAAATTCATTTCCATTTCTCCCCTTGTGTCCCGATGTATCAACAGATATGAGATCCGTGACGTGCACCTGGTGGAGGAGAGCGTGCTGGAGAGTCTGAAGACCAAAGCAGACTTCCATAACTTTAAGCCCCGCCCCTTTAACATGAGGGAGTTCTACGACCGCACGGGCCACGACATCAGTGACATGCTGCTCGGCTGCCATTTCCACGGAACTGAGTGCAGACCCGAAGACTTCAAAGTGGTGAGTGCTCCAAAGGCTGAGAGATATAAAGATAGAGATAAGACGATGTGAATGGAATTTTAAAATGATTCCTGCAATGATATGATATGTCCATTTTATATGATGTTTTGGTCTTCTTCTATATTGTAATTCAGTGTTTCTTTGGGGGTGCTCTACATGTATCTCTAATGGTGGAATGTTTAGGAGTTACCATGGTTACACAAAGCACACATTCGCAAATACAGTCAAAACAGTTTCAAGACTGTCTGAAAACCAAAGGAAAAAAAGTATAAAATTGATTTAAATAACACATTTTCAGGAGCCTGTGATCAGTACAAATGTTCCTGTTTAGTTGTTTGATTTTCAACAAAAAGGTGAGAGTGAAAAACAGTTGAGCTTGTAACTTTAATTTTACGTGAGGGATTTGTTTAACAGCACAAATCTGTTCATCTGTTAAAAGAGTTCTTTATGATCAGATCATGTTAGAATAAAGATTAAAGTCTAACAAAGCCTCAAACAGAGCAGAGCCTACAGTTAGAATCACAACTCCAGTGAATGTTGATGACACCAGCTGCAAAGTATGTATATAACTTTTGTGGAGGAAGGTACACCGCCTGTTTTTTTCCATGATTTGTTATTGTTTTGCCTTAAATGAATCTATAGTAAGACAATAAACATTAAGGGTGTGCAAAAAAATCCAAATATTGAAATATCTATATATTAGGGCTGGGTAGCCTATCATTAAGAAGTTGCAGATACGATACATGCCTCGATACATAGGCCACAATACAATACATATCTTGATACAGTGAACTGTCAGTTCTATATGATATATTTAAAATCGATTCGATACAGTTCAATAAAAAATAAAGGCTAAATCATGGCTATGATGCTAAAAGTCTTTGTTAAACCACTTCTTGTGCAATGTGAATATGAAACAGAAACATTTTAATCATCAAAACAGTGAAAATGTCAATTGTGCTGTTTCCTTCCACAAAATTGTAGCGCTGCAACAAAAAATTTTGTAAAATATACCAAAAAATACTCTTGGTGATATATCGATACCGCAGTCCCCAATATCAATACTGTATCATCACATTAAATGATACAATATATTGATATTTCAATTATTACATTATACTTCAATTATTTTTGCACACCCCTACAATATCTCCTATTATTTTCTTACAGCACTAAAAAATTTTTTGTATGTTTAGAGTAAGGAAACTTGTTTATTCGACACAATTGACATTTTCACTGTTTTGATGATTAAAATGTTTGTTTTTCCTATTCACTTTGCACAAGGAGTCTAGTGTCACAGTCATCATTTAGCCACTATTTTTTATTAAACCATATTGAATCAATTTGAAATGTATCGTATCAAACTGAAAATGCACTGTATCCTGATATGTATCGTATCGTGGCCTATGTATTGTATCGGCAACTTCTCAATGATACCCAGCCCTAGTAAGAAGGAATGTAATGATATTCAAATCTCATGGTACGATATTTTCACGATTTACATCTTACGGTACGATATCTATTGTGATATTTTGTGCAGGCTAACAAAACTGTGAATATGCTACTTTTTTCTCTCTGCATTGACAAGATTTAATTCAAAGAAATAAGACTTAAAAGTGCTTAGAACTGTTATTTGTTCATGTAGTTTGCACCAGGATCATGGTAGATGTAGTTCCCTCTGTTTTTTTATTGCTGCACCATAACAATAAATTTAAGCAAAGAAACTTGTAATTCGATATATTGTGATGGCCCACGATATTATTGAGAGACTTTTGATGATATGTTCCTCCAATTGAAAAGATACACAGTGCGCTTTTAGCTTGTCTATGAGTGACAAGCACTTCTAACCAATCACAGAGCAGTTTGAGCTCTCAGAAGCAAGAGATGGTTTTAATTACTCCATAAAGACAAAATAAAATGACTAAAAAAGTGTCCGTGAAGATTTTTACTTGTATTTCTTCCTCTCTGTGGGTAGCCTATGTTTGCACAGCCATTTCAGTGATCAAAGACTACTGAAATATATGTTTGTTCTTTTTCCCAATCCCCGTGGCTTCGCAAATGTTTACATGTTACCTTTTCATCTGTGCTCTGCGGGAGATGGGTGGCTCTGCTCGTCTGTTAAAGAATATGTCAGAAGCTCAGACAAAATGTGGATTAATGTAGTGAACAACAGGACGCTTTAGAACGTAAACACTGCATTATACATGTGTCAGTGTGATGCATGACTTCCCCTGCAGCTCCCACATCCTCCATGGGCTCTTTCTTTCATTTCTCCCACATGTCTTCTCTCTCTCTCACTCTTCTTACCCTCTTTTTTTCTCTCTCTCCCTCTTCTCCCTCTCCTTACCCCACCATCTTCTTCACCATTCTTCTCTCTCTCTTTTCTCCCCTCTTCTCTCATTCTCACTCTCTCTTCACCCCCCTTCTTCTCTCCTCTCTGGTCTCCACAGATCTGTTGTTGCTTCTGGCACAGCCTTAAGTCAGTGCCACCACACACTGGCATCATCTCCAACTCTCTTTCGAATTTTCAAATAATGAGTTGTAGGCTTGTTTGCAACCTTACACAACCAATAATAACATAGCATGCACAGTTCTCCATGGAGATGTTATTGCTTCAGTAATACAAACACGCTAATGAAATACATGTCGCAATACATGCATCCCGATTTTTGGACTTCCAGTCATCGCGCAATGCATACTGGGAAGGATCGTCCGAAAAAGTGAGCATCAAACCATCATGTTTGATTTCCCAGTGGGATTCATCTATTGTCAAAGCTGATATTTTCAAGTCTTTTGAAGCATATCGCTTTTATTTCTGGTTCTGATATTGTCATATTTTAGTTATGGGATTCGCACATCATAACTGTGTGGTTGTTGAATGTCCTAACAGCGGAAAACGGCTCCAAGGAATGGGCTTCGAATGGGCTTTGCGAACTCCATAACTGCAAAAGGGAATCAAATGTGTGTGACTGCAAACCTCCGTTCAAACTGTTTCCCTTCCCAATGGAATTGAAAAATAGTGAAACGCGAAGGCGATGGGCAGTATTGATCCACAGGAAGGATGAAAAAGGAAACCTTTGGCTGCCTAAGAAATCATCCCGAGTTTGCAGCGAACATTTTGTATGTGGAGCGCCAACAAAGCAAAATCCCACTTGTTAAGCGAGAAGTACAGAAGACAAACAGGCCGAGCTCGCACTTTCTTGTTCAACTGACTTTACAGCAACATCTCATCTTGGTCACTTTGCAGTGGAAGGTGTTTGTTGGCAAACAGCTGGTGCCTATTGCTTTGGCGTTGACTTTTTAAAATTGTAACCGAGGTTGAGCGAGGGATCGGGATTTTGCTTTGTTTGCGCTCCACATACAAAATGTTCGCTGCAAACTCGGGATGATTTCTTAGGCAGCCAAAGGTTTCTTTTTCGGCCTTCTTTTGGATCAATACTGCCCATCGCCTTCACCTTTCACTATTTTTCAATTTCGTTGGGAAGGGAAACAGTTTGAATGAAGGTTTGCAGTCACACAGATCTGATTCCCCTTTTGCAGTTATGGAGTTCGCAAACTTCTGAAGCCCATTTCTCGAGCCATTTCCCACTGTTAGGACATCCAACAACCACACAATTACGATGTCTGAATCCATAACTAAAATATGACAATATCAGAACCAGAAACAAAAGCGATATGGTTTAAAAGACTTGAAAAGATCGACTTTGACAATAGACGCATCCCACTGGGAAATCAAACATGGCGGTTTGATGGTCACTTTTTCAGAGGATCCTTCCCAGTATGCTTAGCACGATGACCGGAAGTCCGAAATTCGGGATGCATGTATAGATATGTCAAAATGTGAAACATTCCAGACAAAGCAATAACATCTCCATAGCAACAAGATGTACCAGTTACATCGGTAAAAGTTTTAATTAATCAGTTTTACATGTCATATTGCAGAATAGTTTTGTGCAAATGTACCACAATATTTATGATGTCTTTTTTACTTTTTTAATGCTTTTCCTTTCTTGAAAAGTACAAGTTGTGCCGTACTGCAATGTGCAAAAATTTCATGAGTATTAAAGTCTTTTATTGACTAAAAAGAGATTTATTCAGTGCAAGTTTTAAAGAAGAGTTTGGGGCATCGCCACTCTCACAGCAGCTGTAGTCAAGGAGCTTTGAAGTGTATTTTTGCTTATAGGCGATCCACAGTTTCCTGCGATGACACAGAGAGGAGACAGTACTCTTTGAAATAGGAATGAGCCAGTGAGATTAGCCTCAGATCAGCTAAATAATTACAAGTCTGGAGGAAGACGCAAATAACTTGACTGGAGCTCAACTACAGTTAAGAACTCCACGCTTAAGCAATAGGGAAGCATAATAATAGGCACAGCATGCAATTACTGGGTTGAGGATTACAAAAACAAAATAAAAAACACTTTTATAGGTAACACAAATGCATGGCTCAAATGCATTTTAATAAAGATGCACCAGGTGAAGTGTCCACCACCTGCTAGGCTCCATGGAATTGTTACAGCTTGCCTGGAATGTTCCGAAGTCTCTATCTCTGTGAAGCTACACCACCAGGCTATGTTACAGGTCAGATCTGTGAAGTGGCAGCGCAGTTCACAGTAAGGATACATGTTTCTCAAGGTTTTTTTTTTTTTTTTTTTTACAATAAAAACACATGAATGCAAGATGGAAAAGTTTAATGCCAGGAACATTCAAAGCAAAAGCATCCCCATGGAGTCCAGCAGGAAGCAGATCTTGCACTAGAAAACTTACATAGTGATCTTTTAAGTCACAAACATACCATATCCTTTCATTTTTAATGTAGCTTAATTCAAAATAATGTAAAGAATCAGCCTGTTATCTTGAATACAATATAGTCACAATGTATTAGTCTGTATTAGGGATAGGAATTCAATTAAATTTTCTTAATCAATCGTCAGGAGAATTAACGATCGATTTTCGATTAATCATTAACATTTTTATCTTAAAATTATCATCATTATTAT